TTTCTCCCGCTAATTAAATGTCAAAGTTCTGTTTAGAGAAAGCGCCTCTGAAAGCGACCGATAACGACGAGAAAGTATAACCCTTTCTGCCTTGGATATTAAAAAAGTTGCTTCATTAAATGTTTCGGGCACGAGTTGAGTCTCATCCGGGCAGAGTCTTAGTTTACCACTTTATCGAAAGCCGAAGGAGGAGCGCTTTAAAATTTGCATGAAAATTGGTTCCGGAAATTGATCGAAAATTTTGTTTACAAATTGAAAGTGACAAATTGCCAAACGGTGAGAAAATACCCTTTAAAATTCTAACTTCGTCGTATAAGTTACGATTTAAAAAAATTATTCGAATTTTAATCCTTTCGTTATCCAGCAATTTATATTGGTAATAAATCCCAAACGAATTCGTAGATTTACCGACGACCTTCCATCAAAATTATCTGGTGGCGTCGATTTATATTCGAATTTCCATCGGTCATAAATCTAAAATACGCGACGGCGGTGCTTATGCGACGTGCGGCTAAAGACTTAACGGTGGATTTACCAAACTGCAATCGGATTGAAGCCGGAGCCACTCACGAATGCAAAACGACTCCTGTTCGATCGTATTTCACTCTCATCCGGAGTATTTCTAGAAAAGATTTTCTCATATGATGCTATAAATGAAAGTCTGCATCATATGGAAAGGATACAGTACAAAAGGTTGAGTGCGAACAGATAATACAAAATCCTTTTAAGGATTTCCTACAGCGTCAAGTGAAAATGTCTTGAACTCGTACCAAATCTTAGATCTAACAAAGAGATTTAGGTCAAAATACTTGATGTGTTTACATATCTCCGTACTACACAATTTTCTAGATAAAATCTAAAACAATTTATTAACACATTAATATGTGGTGATATCGTTTAATATTAGAGATAGGATCATATATCATCAAGTTTTTAGTTTATACAAGCGTATAATACGGTTTTGATGACCACATTCGCTGTAATTTGAACGATTTGAACATTTGGACGGTCCGAGTATCTAAACCATTATGTAATTTACGACCGAGCAAAAATTTTTAACCGGTCACGAATATTCCCGCATTGATACAAATACATTATTAATACGATATTGTTGCATTTGCGCAATGAACTGCACGCCATCGAAGCGAATTTATAAATTCGCAAAATTTGATAAATCGTGGATCGAGTTGCTGTGTTATTCCGTTCCAATTAACGCCGTTTGTCCGATTAGTTTTCGGTTTTTGTTCACGGTTACGCAATCGTTATTAATGACCAAAATTGCAGTGATGACATCATTCTGAAGAACGAAGCGGTTTCGTCCTTGGTTTCTTTACCTACCTACGTTAAAGATGTTAATTAATATTAACTGTTGACAGGGTTGCGATAAAAACAAGTTAATTAATGTAACGCGAAATGGGTACACATTCAACACTTTGCCACTTCGGTTCAGGTAAAATAATTTTTCAAAGTAACGCGGGGTGGCTCGAAAAGAGAGTTTCTTCGCTATTTGCTTAATGAATTTCGCCGGGGTTGAACTATGACGTGAAATATGGCGGGCGGTAATAGATGGTGAGGTCCCTCGCAACTGTTTATGACCATTTATCTTAAACTTTAAGCGACCGGGGAGCCCTTTATATTAGAAAAACAGCGACGAATTTTTCTTCGGGGTAAACAAAAACCCGTCGACGGAAGGAAACTGATTGGTAAAGGACCGCGAACTGGGCGTGATTGCGAAAGCAAGAAAATCAAAGACCGATAAATCGCTGTCTGTGTTTTTCGAACAATTTACCGCAGACAAAGAGAGCCCAGCCGGCGGAAACAAAAGAAACGCGAAAGTAGAATTTGAAACCAGGTGGTCTAAAGTCGAGTCACACGGAAGTTGAGTTGTAAATCACAAGGCGGACGCATTCCGAATTCACTACACGATTTGTCAACGTCGCGTACTGCGCCAAACCCTTACATACATGTACACGATGCGGCAAAATGATTCCCATTTGTACAGCTTGCAAAGTTTATTTCAGTCTTTCAAACTTCCGATTACTCCTTTGTCTTTATTCTTATCTATTTCTTAATAACAAATCATTAGATATTATGTCAACTTTGTAGATTTACTCAAATAAATTTCAACTATACATAGGTGTTTGAAAATTATGGGATGGATCAGCAAGCTTTAAAGATAACATTTACAATAACAATAATTGGACCGCGTTATACATCACTTGACTAAGCGACTTTCATGCTGTCTGGTAGGTAAAGGTGTAACTTATCTTAGAAAAAATGCAGAATACCGAAAGACCTAAAATACTATTTGTTTTAAAGGATTAAGATAAGCGCCAATCACGTTATACGATTTCAAGTCCGTTTTGCATCATACGTCTAAGAACCGACTTTTCCAGATGTTAGTATAAAATTAAAAGTTTATATCTTTTATTTTATATAGAATTTAAGTCTAACTAGTTTCGGCCCTTGGTCATCTTCAGAGACACTACAAATAGATTAACATCTCTCACCTTATCCATTTCACAAACGACAGCGGTAGGTAGCGCTAGTTAGCATAAGATATCACTATGTTATATATTTTTATTGCACTAGACATGAACATACTATATTCTATATACTCTATTATTACAGTATGGCTAAACCCGAAACTTTCTACTTCTAGGTCTAGTGTTAGTTCTAGTTTTACACTAACACTATCATTTGAACTAACACAAGACTTAGAACTGGAATCATTCGGGTTTAGCCGTCTTGAGAGACGTGGGACTAAATCTAAATGTTTCTAGTTCTCGGTCTAGTGTTAGTTCTAGTGGCAGTGGGAGGTAGCGCTAGTTAGCAAAAGAGAGAGACAATGGATTTATTTTAGAAAATTAGAAGCAATATATAACATAAACAACAACGTAATGTACATTCTATATTAAGTCTAAAATTACGTCTAAAAAGTGCTATCGACCAAAGTCCTTCCGCCCCATCTCAATAATTAAAATTTTATCAGCCACATATTGTTATAGATAGCATAAGATATTACTATGTTGTATATTTTTATTGAATTAAAACTAGAACGAGAACTAGAAACATTCGGGTTTAGTCGTGACAAAAACTTTCAGTTGTCAATGTCAACTTTAATTTTATTATTATATTCGTAATCTTCATAATCTAACCTTTAAAGTGAGTCCAAACTTGACGCATTTATCTCAAAAAACAAAAAAGTTACAATAAAAAACATTAAACTCTAAGTTAGCAACAATGAAGATAGCAATTTAATTTTTAAATATTAATACCAACCTTAATTTTTTTTTTTATTATATTTTTGTTTTTCTGACAAATTTTAAGACATTTTATAAAAATTAAGAATACCTATGTCAAAATGACATTGACATTTCAAACCGGAAGTTCTTATATCTTGAGTAATATTGGAATTAAAGGTATCTTGTTGTACTCATTTTAAAGGATTTTTAATGAAGATTACAAATATGTCAAAATTGAGGTTGACAGTTTAAACCTGAAGTTAGTTATCATATAATAGAAGTTTTATAACTGAAGTTAATCTCGTGTTAGTCACTTTTCCGCACTTTCTTTTTATATTTAACGTGTTTTTGGGTCATTTCACATTGATTAAAAAAATCGTCGATTTTTAAGCCACATGATGATTCTTGAATTTTTCCCAATTATTGTATAGCTCGAAGATGATTTTAAATTAACAGGTTTCCTTTTGTGAAGCGCTGCCTTGATCACTGTTTATCTATAAGAGTCTCCTTTGTACTGCCTTGGTCGCAAGCGATCTCGGCTAAACTTAGATCGTAAAACCGATAACATCACCTGATTATTGTGGGAATGTATGATATTGTCTGATTAAGTCGATGTCGCTTACAGCCGAGGCTCTGTGATGTGTTCAGTTCCGATGTGACAGTTTTGGATTGATATAACATTAATTGTAGAACCTCGGCCGCAAACGACCTTGGATTGATCAGGGGATCTCATGGACTTTTAACCTTAAAGATAGAGTTAATATGGAAGAATCGTCTTCAAAATGGTATTTATTTAAAAAATATGTTTTTTGAGATGAGAATGAAGATAAAAATTCTCTCTTCTTAGTCTGAATCTCGTATTCAAGAATCGTGCTTTCATGAGTTGCTCTCCAAAGTATTTCTCCTTTCATCCCTGTTCTCAGACATCTTTCTTATATCTTCTTGAGTGTGCCTGCTAGACTTTGTCCCCACACGGATCTTCCACACGACCTTTTGCCAGTTACTATGTCCTCTAACGTAAGTCTTTCGAGCTCGTTTCTTTGCACCATGTGTCCAAAACATTTTTACAATACCACGACTTGCATTTTTTTTTGTTTTTGTTGTTGTAGTATTGACTCGTTACTTCCCCTCTATGTCCACGGAAATCTTAGCATTCTGTGACAGCATAACATTTCCAGGGTATCGAATTTTTTTGTCCTTTGTTTGTAACGATCAGCACTCTGATCTGTAAAAAAAGATAGAGAAAACCAGGCTCCTTACCAGGCCTATTGTTATTGTCAAAGAGCAGATGAACGTATTGACTGTGTCGATACTACCCATCTTCTTTATTTCATGTCTATTATCCTTCGCTCGGTTAATTATCATAATTTTAGTTTTTTTTGTGCACGTTTAGACCGATTTCATTGCTGCATTGCTCTACCCACCCGATAAGGTCGTTTCCTCTTCTAATACCGGATTAAAGTTGGTATCATCACCATTAATTTTAACGCTACCCATTGTTATTCCTTCATTTCAGTCTTCTAAGGCTTTCTTCATGGTCCACGCACCCTTGCCTGACGCTTTTTTTCACCTGGAATGGATCAGTCAGCTCGTTCTCAACACTTACGTTTGTTGTGTTATTATCGTAGAAACTCTTGATAATGGTTATGGAGCGTTTCAACTTTTAAACCAAATTATATATTGTATTATTTTTAAACTTATGCAAACCAATTCACCGATAATTCACACAAAAATATTTTATTTGATTCGCAACGAACAAAAATACATTTTTAAATCTATTAACACTATTAGAGACATCTATTAACTACATTTTTAAATTTACGAACTAAACATAAAAACTAGCCTAAATAAATACGTCTGTGCAAGAAAGAGGTAACTCGTTTAGAAGAGTGTTGTCGTAGACGAAGCTTATACCGCTCATACGCGTTTATTTTATGAGTGTATTTTAAGTTTGATTTTTAATCGCGATGGTTATAAAAATTAAAAACTTCTGAAGGGACGGAATGGTTTAAACGAGGAACAGGTATACGATTAAGTTCAAGAAAGTAACGTTTGATTACCGATAAAAAGAAATATATTTACTTATCTTGTTTCTTTCCCGAGGTGTGACATGTCAGTTAAAAATGGCTGGCTGACCTTGATCTTGAGGGATGCATATTCTTCGGTATTAGAAGTTTAGGAATCTCGGGAAATTTAGTGCTCGGGTCCTTCGGGAACAGGATGGAAATTGGACTCGAACTCAGGTATGGTTTAGATTTCTTTGAAGATAATTCAGAAGTACTTGTTAACTTTTACTTGATAAAAAAATTGAGTTGTCAAAAAAAAATTCTAATTTCAGACTTAGGTTAGAAAATTTAAGATTAATTTTACGTAGATTCGACCACGCTTGGCTCTAACCAAATTTGAACTCTCTTCGGTGTCAATTTGCGCGGCCTTATATACCCTTTTTGGACAAAGGCATCTTGGATATCCAAATTTGATCCTCTTAGTTTGAGCCTGGGCTCTCTGATTGGTTGATTAAGTGGCGGGAATTATAAATTACACAGGTTGGCCAAAATAATTAATTTTTTTAAAGAAAATAACTATCAATTTTGAAAATATTCGAAATTATTAATAAACTTTAAATTTGATTAAGATTTTGTAATTTTGTTGCTAATTTTTCGTTTTTTTAGATAAACGCGCTTTCGGGTGTCAATTTCCTTCGAGAAAGTCGTAATTTGATGTTGAAGTTTGGAAATGAAAAATTAGAATTTAGATATAAAAAATGATACCGAAACGGATGAAATTGCGGCCTATGGGTTAAATCGATACAATCTATCGATCTCACATGTTTTTAGAATCTAAAATCGTCTGAAAAGTCGCCAAAATCAATACCTGTCAAAAATGTAAATGACAAGGTCAAATTTGAAGGTTATGGACTTCAATGAATTACCTTTTTCTTGCACATCGCCCTAATTTTTCTTAAATCTAAACGAAAATCATAACAAAACGTAACTACTTAGCCTAATCCATAATATTAAATTTCTTAAATTTAATTAGTCTTTTTTCTGTTTCTTCGGAAACAGGGATTTTATTACAATATATTAATCAATCGCAAGTCTCAGCTGCTATAAGATACTGAGCCAGTGAATATATCTCAACATGGTACTCAAACATACAGTTAAGGAATACATCAATTTTTTTTAGGTATTTGGTTTTACATCCAATTGTGTATCTAATGCTGAAGATCTTCAAGATATTTTATGAGTGTAATAGGTTTCAAATACACAGTTTCGACCGCTAGCCATAGTGTCATCTTTGCTTTTTTAGTATATTATAATTAGTTGTATACAAAGGCAGCTATTTTATTTTCACTGGTTGCAAGAATAAAGCCGAGGTCGACCTTTAACAACTAGTCAAAAATTTGTCTCTGTCATCTCATTATACGTTAATTATTTGTTAAGCCAATATCAATTGTGGTCAAGGCACTACCTCAACTACCTTTTTTCTTCTTAATTTAATAGCTTTTAATAACCTATTTTCCAACGTTTCGCTGATGTTTCCAGGCGTTTTAACGCGACCGGTTTTCTTCTCTCGCAAATTTTCGCCAATCAGTCCTCGATCATTCTGTCAACATGAACAGAATCAGGAACGGTTCTGTCATCCTCGATTTCTAGCCCATATAACAATGTCCTCAATACCACATATATTTCTGATGTCTTCGCTTTGTGGTCTGCCTCTTAATGTGTAGCCGGTTATGGTTCTTAGATTTCTCATTTCAATAGTCCTTGAAAGATTTTCCGTGGTGGCATTTTCTTGACGGCGTACGTCATGATGGGTTTTATGCATGTTTTGTATATTATAATCTTTCTTTTTATGCTAAAGTTTCTATTACTGGTTATGCAGTGTCCCATGTATTTAAAACATATTACCTGTTTCACACTTTAGTTCTATATCGCATTTTGCATCTTTTTGATTGTCCAGCTAAATTCATTGGACAAACTCATTGAACATGATGATCATTGAATATTTCAAGTGTAATAGCTACTGCATATATTAAATGGTGGAAAGTATTTTATCACTTTTAGTGTCCAAAATACTTATTTAGCATCGAACTTTTTTTCTTAACTTTCTGTATTAACTACAACAAGTTTGATTAAATAATTAGCAGAATAGCTTTATGTTAGGCTTGTTCGTAGAACCCTGTCAATCTATATATGACCAGATATCTTTCAAGAGAGCGATTTCAAGTCTTATCCCAAGTATTATTTGTGATCTAATAAATAATCTCGGGCGACTTCGAAGATGTCGGTCACCTAAAGTATCATCAACAATACTTGGGGTAGCAGATAAAGTTCTTATGTTTGTGATACATGTAGTTTGGTCAAACCTTAAACTTCAAAAAAAATGTGGAATTACACTAGCCTGTCTTCTACCAGCAGTATGTAGTTTTGCAACCTTCAGTTTGTAACATTCTGCAAGCAATATCTAATATTCTATTAACAATATGTAATTATAACTACTATATACTATACATATCTAATATGTTATCATATTTGCCTCTGTTCGTATTATTCTGCTTATTTCGGCTTTGAAATTATTTATTCGTTCTTCTGTCCTTCTGCATTTCCCCATTTTCTTGTCCTCAATGGAACTTTTAAAAAGTATGACTGCTGACGTAGGTCGTTTGAGGAGTTCATGAGAGTTTGTTATCCATGATGACTTCCAAATATAATTCTTCGAAAAGAGTATCCTGGTCCAGTTTCTAGATGTATAGCGTGGAGTGTACACCTCTTGATAATTTTAAAGAGCAATGACGAAAGACCTTTGTGGTACCACCACTGTTGAGGTTCATATTAATGATAGTCTGGTTTTATACAAAAAGTTCGATCAGAAAGAATAGCCAGGCTATCTGAAATCTTTAAACGAGATAATTTGTCAAACGATTTGGAAATATCGAGGAACGGCTCTGTCCCTTGTGATCTATATTATAAATTCCAGTATATCTGTTTGCTTTGCTAATATTAAATTTTTTCACAACCTTCTGAGTTGTATTGTAGCTTTGAGCTGTATGGTATGGACAGTATGTACAGCGAACTGACCTGGCGATAATGCATCACATCCAAAGATTTAGTATATGGTCCAACATCAATTCGAAATGCATTACTACCAATTAGGGAATTGTCTAAAGCACACAACAAACACTTTCGTGAGTACCATTGAAGGTATTCGAAAAAATTGCAATATAGATGGTTACTAACATCAGATCTCCTACATTCAAATATGCTACCAAAATGAAGAACAATGGGATGCATTTTCAAGGAAATGGGTTGAAATGATTATCTATGCTTCAGGTTTATGTTCACTAACCAGTAAATATGAACCTGGAGGCGTTATAATTGAACTTATATTTATCTCCTTTCTGAAAATAACTAGTCGAAATTTCTTTAATTAAAAATGGCAAAAGAATTTGAGGTTTGATGGTATATTGTAGCACCATGCATCTCTTTTGGTGATTTTAATTAAAATGTTATGCAATTCATGGAAAGAAACCATTTGTTATGAATAAAGTTTGTAATATTTTAGTATATGGAATCAACTCTATAAATATTGGAATGTGATTTCCAGAACTCATAGTTTATGCAAAAAAAAAAAATACAAAGCAAGATAACAAAAACAGTTTTTTTAATTGTACAAACTTGAATAAATTATGATGGTTTACCCAAACTAATTTTACGGTGTTGTTTACGTAGAATTAGTAAATAGTAGTGTTTACTCTACTTCCACCCGTTGCTGAAAATCAATATTAAATGCGATTCAAAATTGTTGCGATATGCTCGAATTTATATTATTCCACGGTCCAACGATTCAATGAAATTAAAAATAGTCTTTGCAATAACTGAATTTGTACGCGGACAATTAACCAAACGGCTGGAAATAAATAAATGAAAGAAAAAGAAAACAAAGCACTTTAGCTGTTATTCGTTTCTTTAAAAAAAAGGAAACAATTTATCGCAAGTGCCCAATTTCTTTTATCTTAAAAGCGACGTCCCGTCGGCCGAGGCGGACAATTTGCAATGTAGATCATTTTCGGATGAGTCCAACTCCGGTCTTTCTTTTTAAATTGTAAAGAGGCCTCCTCCGCAGCGACACCCATTAAAAGCACAACTACGCAAGGTTGGAAAACGACCAAAAAGGACGACCGAGAAACAACCGTCTGGGTCGACGCTATTTATACTAATGGACATTTTTTTCTTTTTTTATCCCTTGCCCAAGAAAGAAATTTCTTATCAGATCCACTAAAATCCACCAAAATAAGAATTTGATTAACCACCATCCTCGTTGGACTTAGTGTAGGAAAAGTACGAAAATAAGAATAGTCGATTTTAAAAGAATCAAATTAATTTTTTCAAATGACATTTTAATACGATTATACAAAAACACGACACCGTTAGTAGTGCACACCCTCGAAGGGGGTACGGAAAGACCCGGTTTAATTCGGTTGGCAAAGTTGGCAACGCGTTGAACATGCATGAGCCGGCTAATTCACTTAATAGTTGTTAGCACGGAGTTGTGTAGAAGGTACATGAATTTTGAATATCAGGATATACTTTAAGGGATTACATTAGGTTATATCGCGCAAATTCAAAGTGATTGCAAGTGTAAGATTAAAATGTTTCGCGATGATTTAGACAAGTTAATTTTTTTATCTTGTTTTGTCTCATGATGAAATCGATAATGTAATTAATATTTTTTAATTTGATTCAAAGATTAAATGTTGATGATAACGATCTATTAAGAGTTGATAAGATGAAAAACAAAAAATGATTGGTAATTTTGAATTGCGTTATTTCCTTGATACACCTGAGTAAAAAGTAGCATCGCTGCATCGATTTGTTTCAATTCCTTTTTTGGCATTGTTGGCGGGGCGCATTAGATAGATTTATAGCTCACCGCTCTCTGCCGAAGCGATTCGAAACGGCCGTTCGTAAATTGGCACTTCCTCGATATATTGTATCCTAGTATTTATTGGCTACAGATACCTGAGCCCTAGGGCATTTCAGTTTTGAACGCTTCCACTGATAGTGATTTTTTTAATTTGATTAAATCGCACAATATTTGATCACTATGTAGTAAATGTAGTAAAAGTGATTGTTATTTTAAGATTTGTAGGTGGACGTGATGGATGGCTTATGTGAGGTACTGCAGTAGTGTCCACTGCGATGGCCATTAAATTCGATTTACGGTGGCAGGTGAACTGCGAGAGTCGGGTGTCGGTGTAATACGCGTATAAATTAAACGTCGCGACGCCGACGACAGAAATGGCCGTGCATATTTTCGTCACGCGTGATTTACAGCGAACTCGAGGAGAGAAAAGTGCGCACATCCCTCACCAATGCACTCTGCATGACACAAATTTGTCTGAGTGTCACGGCGGAAATGGGTGAGGTTTTGATGAATTTAAGGGTGGTTTTAGTTGACTGAACGAGTCAAATCAATAAAAATAATAATAAATTTTCTAGGTAAAGTTTTAGCCGACTATGAACCGAAGTTTATCCATAAACAGCCGTCGAAAGAACTTTAATAACCATCTCATGCATGACTCATAAAGAGTTAGACAACTTCTCGAATAAAGTAAGAAGGCTATTATACCTACCCAAGAGTAGGTTTAAATCCTAGACCGTTATAAAATAAAACGCGTTAAAATATCGCCTCAAATATTTTCAATTGACTTTTCAAAGTTCGAAAACGAACGACCGCATTTCTCGCGTCCCATTAAACTCTTTTCAATGGAAACCACCATTAATTCTCGACTCCCCATCAATCCCTATCGACGTCAAAGTCTTCGGGGGTCATCAAAGATAAAGAGAGTAACTAATAGTCATCGAACGGCATGTTTACTAAACTTTTTTGCTTTATAACATCGTAGACGACATTTTATCGATCCACAAACTTTTCCGGTTTTATACTCTATTTTGTAATTCCGAGGAGTATTTTCAAATTGAAGCGCCAAAACGAAGGGTTGCTATTGGTCAGTTTTAAGCAAAAATTACACTGGGAAAATTTGAGATGTTGCCGGCCGCCTAGAAACATTTTGGTTTAGCCGCAAGTCTCTCAATATGGCTAAATCCGAATGATTCTAGTTCTAGGTCTTGTGTTAAGGCTCGTACAGGCACGTTTAGTAATTTAATCGAGTAGCGAGCAATTTAGTAACTCGCTACGTGGGATCATTACAATTTAGTCGAGTAGCTTAGTAAAACGATTTAGTCAAGTAGATCAATGTGATTCTATTTTTTCGGTCGAGTAGTGTATACCCCCACTACTTACAACTGCCACTAAACACGTGCGAATCATAAATTTATAAATTTAGTCAATTAGCAATAGTATAATAACAAACATAAAAAATATTAGATAGACATATTTACAGGAGCAAAAAAAATTAAGTATTCTATGAAATCTGGATCTAGTGCCAATACTGCTTATGTTCCACCCATAAAATGATTTTAAATACTGGATAATGTGTTAAGATGTACTAATACAGAAACGAGGCAAACTCAAAGTAATTTGGTAAGTATTCAGGTTTTATTATGTGTTGTAATGAAAATAAGTACATGTTTAATTTTATAAGAAAGCATGCTCTCTCTAATGTATCATTCTCAACTGCCAAGACACTGACTCTTCCCCTACGAAATAATCAGCGTATTTTTCCCTATGTTCCAGAGCTCAGCATATTGAACGATTTATTAACGTTCTAGGCAGTGGAAGTAATCCAAGGGGCTGTGGCAAATGTCTCCAATTATCTTCCATTATTACTTGATCTTCCAGGTCTACAGAATGATGGAAACTTGATTCAACTAGTCTTGAAGTCCTCAGCCAGTTATGTAACGCATAACATGCTTTTACGATTATATACACCTTATCAGGACGAAAAAGAATTGGCTTTTCAAGCATTCTAAACCTACTGGCCATTATACCAAAAGCGTTTTCACATTAACAGATCTACCCATTCTCAATTCACCATTCTTCTGGATTAACTCCTTCAGAAGAGCATTTGATGCGCCTAGTGAAATACTTTGGGTGAAAAAAGAAGACACTTTAGAACTTTGAATTTAACATTTGAAAGGCTTGCTAAGATATAAAGAACACTTCGAGGTATACTACATTTCATAGAAATGGAACAAGTCATAGTGGACGGAATTGAAAGATCAATGATAATTAAGAGGGAAGATTTTATGAAGAAGAGGAGAAAGTTAAGAAATTTAAAGAAGCATTTGAAACATACCAATGAAAATATTAATAAAGAGAAAGCCTTGTTAGAAACTGTTATCCCATTTAATAATTATTCTGAAATTAATTTTAATAAAAATGAAACAAATCTTCTTAATAAAGGTTATGAATTTGCCAAAGAACCCAAGTATAAATGAGCCAATATAGCAATAGATTTTGATATAGTTATTAAAAATCAATGTTTCTAAAGGTTTTCTTAAGGTTTTCTAAAGAAATCTGAAAAAACAATTGTGAAAAAGAAAATAACCCTATAGAATACAATAAAACTGTCACTTCTATTAAAAGAAAATTAATTCACAATAACGCTGTATTTGTAAAAGCATAGATAAGGGAGCTGGATTTGTTATTCTTGATAGAGATTTGGAAAAGACATATGAATTCATGGAAAATAATAATTACAAAAAGCTAAACCATAATCCGTTAGACAAATTAATTTGAAAAGCAAGAGAAATCATTAATAGTTGTAAAGAGACTTTAATTGAAAACACACCTAGTTTAAATTAGACCTACTAATTTCCCAAAAGATTATTCTCTTCCAAAGATACATAAGACTGGTATGTCAATAAGACCAATTACTTCATTCAGAAACTCACCCACATCGAAACTAACTAAATTCATGCTCAATGTGTTTAAAATGATTAACTTTGTGTCTGATTTTTAAATAAGGAACACCCAGCCATTTTTAGAATAAACTTACTTTATTAAATTTACTAATAAACTTTAGAAAACAGAATTATGGTTTCATTTGATGTTACTATTCTATATGCGAATGTTCCCATAGAGTTAACACTTGAATTAACAGAACTAACACTAGACCGAGAACTAGAAACATTCGGGTTTAGCCGCACGTCTCTCAAGACGGCTAAACCCGAATGATTCTAGTTCCAGGTCTGCTGTTAGTTCTAGTGATAGTGCTAGTGTAAAACTAGAACTAACACTAGACCGAAAACTAGAAACATTCGAGTTTAGCCGCACGCCTCTCAAGACAGCTAAACCCGAATGATTCTAGTTCCAGATCTTCTGTTAGTTCTAGTGATAGTGGTAGTGTAAAACTAGAACTAACACTAGACCGAGAACTAGAAACATTCGGGTTTAGCCGCACATCTCTCAAGATGGCTAAATCCGAATGATTCTAGTTCTAGGTCTTGTCTAGTCCGAGAACTAGAAACATTCGATACATTCTAGTTCTAAGTTTAGTGTTAGTTCTAGTTTTAGTTCAATAAAAATATGCAACATAGTGATATTTTATGCTAACTAGCACTACCTACCACTTACTAACTGTCTCTGTTTCTAGTTCTAGGTCTAGTGTCAGTTCTAGTTCTAGTATTAGTCTAGTTGTGTTTGTTATTCAGCGCTAGATTATTGTATGTTTTTATTGAGCTATAATGGACACCGTATTAATTCCCCGTTATATCGAGGTTTTAGTGTAATGTCAAATTATATTGACAAGTTGCATTTTATGTGGGACAAAGTAAGTTCCTACTTACTGCCCTGGTTTTTATTATATTTAAACAAATAAGTAATTAAATTCGTAACAACAGCTTACTTAAAATCCTCTTTGGTTTTAAAACTCCCGCCAAAAAATAGCTTAGATAAATTATACTGTGTAAACGTGACTTTTCATTTTACTCCTCAGAATTAAGAAATAGAGTGTCGTACAAATTAAGATAAAAAAGAATTAAACTTACCTATGACAGTTAGATGGATGAAATGGCTAAGATGTGGTGTTGAGGAAACTTGACATTCGTAAATTCCGGAATCTCTATGTTGTGGATACTTAATCTGTAAAGTCCAGTCCTCGGAATGTGGTTGGTGGATGGCCCTAAAACGTTGATCGCTTGTGTACGTGTAATGTCCAACGGTAAGTAGATGGACGTCACGATGCCTAACCCAGGACACCTGTAGAGACATCTGCAAGGTATTTAGTTTGTCACGGACACAATTCTCACCCTCGACCATAAGGGTAGTAAAATGGAAGAAGTCGGAAAAGAAAAAGACAGAAACGATTAGTAAAAGTTTAGAAAATGATTCAGTTTAGCGATTCACAAGGGTTCGGTGTTGTATACAGTTTGGTACCAATTACCCCTCTGTAAATTGGACGGTTCTTTTGGGGTGCAAAACCGAATAGGTTACGGGAAATCGAACCTCGATACGTGCGGTCCACGTAATTAGGCACCATTCTGCTTCGCAAACAAACCTACGGCGCCCAGTGTGCTGCCCTATATATTTGTTGTTCTTTGCTTGTTTCCCGAGTTTGTAGCGAAAACGCTTTTCTAACTACATGTTTGTCGAATTTAACAAGGAAAGCAAATAATAATAAACGGTGCTATTTTTGAACTTTAAGATGATCGCGTTATTTTTTTTTGTTTGAGGGTAAATCGTGAGTCGATGCCGCATAATTTGTGGGTTATAGTTTAGTTCTTGCGTGTGGCTAATTTGATATCGCCCTCGCCTTGGTAATAAAAACGAATTCCAATGATTTATGGCACGAGGTTGCGGATAAATGTATATATTTTTAATAATATTCGGTTACTTAATAATTTATAATATACCAAAAAAGGAAATATATTTGAATTACATTTTTTATGTCGATGTGGAATTCGAAACTTGCCCGTAGGTATTTACATCCACTTCGTGGCTTACTTTTATCCCGTGGGCAAAACAAATTTCTTCCCTTTTCATTTTTACGTCATCATTTTAAATTACCGCTTATTTCCCTGGACGCAAAACTTTCGCTCCCGAACCACGCGCGCAAGTCCATTTCCGGCGTTGCATATTACTTGTCGAAACTCGCCAGGATCGTAAATAATTTTACTAGTATACGATGGAGAAGTTGGAGGAAGAGGTGTGGATTTAGTGGTAAATGGTGGATGAAAAAGAAAGAAAGTACAGATTACGATAGATATCGAAGATTTTTTTTCTGGTAGAAATGACTACTTTTTTAGGGTGTTTTTTTGTTGACTCACCGTTCGGTTGGCCAAATTTTTGACGCGGCAATTCAAGTAGGCTGTTTTTCCCAGCAGGGCCGTTACGTTTTTGGATGCTGCTGTGTCGAAATGAGGTCCTCTGGTGGTTGCTGCGTCACTCACTGAGTTCCCGGGCACTGCGCTACCGGTTTGAACTGCACCGAATGCTAAAAATAATAATAAAAAAACAATGGTATTTTTTGCTGTATAAATGTCCAAAGCAACGCTTTATAGACAAAATTAAAAAAAAACTCAATCAATCTATTGATTTAGGGGGTGAATAATATCACAACACAAAGGATGTTCTAGAATATTCACTGAAAGTGTTTTAAACTGAGATCGTTAGCTGTCTCGTGTTTGAACATGAAGAGTTATAGAGTATCCAATAAACATAGTTTGTAACATGTTTATACGCACGGCAATGATTAATGTTTGTAGTTTGGTTGAGACCGGTCCCCGTTGGGCCCTTAGGGAGTACTTAATTTCCATTACCGACTAACCAACGACAATTACCACGCTTTGGGGACGGTAAACTTTTCTGTAAAACTTGCCCGTTGATTAGGAGGAGGGAGAAAGTTCAGAATTTACCGCGTCAGCAGTTTTTCGCTAGTTTGTGACGTCAAAGTTTTACCACCCAATTAACCCTAACAAAAGTGATTATTACCGAAAATAACTTCGATAAGTTCTTGTTTTAGTTGAATCATCAATAAATCAAATACCAAAAATAGACTAAATAGACTCTCAAAATCCATAAATTCAATTTTAAAGCACTAAAATGTCCCGCGAAGTAGAAATGTGAACTGAAAGAACGAAAAGTCGATAACCTCAATTATGCGGGTGCTTTCTAAGCCGAGGGTCGCGTGCTGTCAGCTTTAATTGATTTTCATTTAGAAGCACGAACGTTCGATGTACTGACACTGACGATTGAAATTTTACTGATTCTTTTTGCGATAAACGACTATGATGGCTTATTTATGTGTATTTCCGTAAGTTCGAGTTTGTATTTGACAGGTAAATAACCCTTTTTAAGTGAAAAATAAAAAGCATGTAGGTCGTCATCAATATACATGCATTCAAAGAAGAAGTTTTTTGAATTAATGATGTATTGCGAGTTCAGTTCAACTCTGAACGCGGTGGTACTCGAAGCAAGTGTCAGCTCATTAATATTTATCACGACCGCAGTAAAACAACAGCAACAGACGTTGTTGCATTATTGCATTAGCAACCATAAATCTGCTTAGTGTGACCACGACATTTGTTACACGATTTAAAATTCGCGAGGTGAAAAAGAATTGTTCTCGATCTAATTAGAGAAAATATAAAGGTACTAACTAATTATATTAATATTATGATTTCCATTTTAATTTTTAATTTCTTGTACAGAAAGTAATAGATTTGCAGTTGTTCGAATAAGTTTATGTTTTGACACAATCCATTAATGTTAACATTAATTTTTCTGTTATTTCAAAATAATTAAATATAAAGTTATAAGGAGTGATGAGGATAAAAAGTAAAAGTTCAAGAAGTCTTTTCAAATTCTGACCATATACTATGTGCTAGATCAAGTAATAAAATGTATTATGAATGCTAATGTTTCAGCTTCAAATAAGAAGATCTAACAGCACGCAAAATACATCATTAAGACAAACATAGTAAGCATTGTAATGGGGTATCAAAATCAGCTTGTCATTTACTTAGACTTATTATGGAGGCCAGAAAAATGGTGGACCCGTAGTATTCATTACCACAAAGCACATCGCCAAAAAATGCGCCACAATTAATAAAGAATTTTTTATTTGAAACATTTGTCATTAAAACCACAAATGGCGAAGTTATTGGCTATATTCCAGACATTTGACACACCCTTTATAGTGACTCTCTAGAGTCTCTATAGACTTAGCCAGATATGGTGAAAAAGTTAAGTTGAAACTCAGGTATACACTATATTAGACAATATGCAGGGCAAATCTTAAAGTACACAAGCAATGATAACTCGTTGTTAGACTAGTTGAAAGTTCAAATTTGTTATGACGTAGATCTCAATTCTAAAAATATTGCGGTGAACGAAAACAAACACTTAAATGTCACTAATCAATGCCATGAGAGGATCAACAAGGACATCTGAGTAGTTAAAGGCTAGAGACATCACCGAGTTGAAGACCATGAAGCTTACTGCACCCTTCTACGTCACAATAATGAACACGCATGTAAAGTTGATACAACCTCTATTTCAACTGGGCAGCAACTGGTAATTTCTGTCGCCATCTAGGTATGATGACTAAGAACATTGATTTAATCAATTCAATCAAGGCCTATGGATTATCTTTAGTCAATGAAGGTTCGTTCCGGATCGGATTGCTGCTCTTGGATCCTTTCTGCTAAAACACGTTAGGTGACGTGATGGATCGGACAAGTAAGCTCTTACCGGACAAGTTTTTTTCAAAATCTTTTTATTATTCAGCGAGCAAATCCTGTTGGAAAAGGGTTTCTATAAGCATTAACCATTTAAGGTTATTTAATATTTCTTTTTATTGTTACAAAAATGAATGAATAAAAATTAATATGCTAAGTTCAAATGCAACTATAGTTGAAGATCTACCTATTACTGATACATCTCTGTATCCTTCTACGGGTTGATTATCATCGTCTGTTTCAGCACAATGCAAGCCATTTCGAAGAAAGTTATGCAAAAGAAAGTACAACTTTATCCAGTAGCTCTGGTATAACATTAATAGGTGGAATAAGTAGTTGAAAGATTATACTACTACTCGTACCGATTATACTATATAACAAGTACATCTATCTTGAGTGTTAACAACAACCTAGGTTGTGTCCGAAATTTTTCCAAAAACATAATAGCACATTTACAAACATCTAATCTAAGGAATTTGACCGCCGAACACATGCACACAAAACTTTACTTTTTGTCCATCACATTGCAATCTACGCACTCCAACTGAACTGAATGTGTAAAAGCGAGTGTGCCAAATATGAGATAACGGTATAAATTTTCATCAAACTTTTCATATTTAGCACAATTAACTGTAAGGGGTTAGTTGTGTATATTATTGATATCATTAGGGATAGAAATTCTAAAATCCGTACAACACTTCGTATGTGGCTAATATAGCACAATTTGGACGACTTTCTACATTGTTTGAAAGTTACCACAGATATAGTGGTACATTAATGAAGTTACGATTAGATCTGAAGCACTTCGAAGGGTTAGAGTTAAAAGGAGTGAAACTTAGGTAATGACAATGAAGACAATAAAATTAGTTGCTATAAAGCTTGTTGTTATTAGCCTCAACTGTTTTGGATATAAGTGGGAAAAATATCACTAAAAATAAGTACGGAAAGTGGAAATTAATTATTAACAAAAATATTCAAACAATCAGTGATTGAAGTATCAATTTCATCAAGAAAATTACTGCAATAAACAGCGGGTGGTTTATATACCACCACCAAAGGTATTATCCCCATCAAATTCGATTGTTTTAGTTCATGCTGGGATTTCGTAATTGAACGGCCCAAATTCTACGTATATGCAAACGTAACGTTGTTATATTTATTATTAATTAAATACAATTTTAAGGTCCATGTAATAAATGTTATGCATTCGAATAATTTTACACGAACCTAAGTATACGAGATCCAAAGAGATTGGAATATATAAGATGTATGGTAAGAAAACAAGGTTTTTCAGTCAATCTTGGGAAGGTGATATATTATTTGGTATTGGAGTATGTTCCAATTAAGTTCTAGTTAGATGAAGATGTGGTTAGTAAACGTGGTAAAACACCGATTTTCTCAAAAATTTTAAGTTCTCCAAGTAAAGATACGAAGTCGCCATTATGTCTAATCTCGCTGATAATACTATTTGTAAGAAAAGTTGGAAAATGTCTCCGACAAGATATTCAAGTTTACGAATATTATGCACAAAGGATTCAAATTCAGTGCATAAATCATCTTAGCTTTTCACACCAAATAAATGCACTAATATATTTGCACCAAACACTTCTTTAACTTCCCTTTAATATGTTAATATTCGTCGAGTTATGTGAATTATTAATAACATCATTTGGAAATTTAGAATTTTAGATATTACATTAACAATAATTACTTTTTTAGGAAAAATGGGTTGTGGTGATAAATAACCAATTAATGATAAAATAACAATAACTTTTATTGATATTCTATAATTTAGGTACTCGTATTAGCTCATCAAAGGGTTTTTAGAGCGATTTTTAGTATCCATACTAAAATTCATCACTAAAACACGAATAACCTCCCATTTAGACAATTTCATCTGTATATTTTATTTTTAAAATATTTTGTTTAAATTCAAAAATTTTAAAAGCAAAAAAAAATGATTATAACTGGTTTTGTTTACTGAAATTAAATTGAAAAGCACATCGAGAGTTTTATCCGTACGTTGTTATTTGTTTTCAAAAGCTTTTAAAATTGATCTTATTTTTTTATTTTAAATTGTTCTTGGCTGTTGCGTTTGAAATAATATGATAAATAAAATATAATAAATATTTCCTGTTTATAATTTAAGTGGCAATAATATTGACAATACCTTAGCATATTGACAGTGTAAGGTGAAAAATTTTATTGACGGTAAATATTGATGGAGTATTGATAAAAATCCGCATTTTCTGATTTTCGGGCATCAATACTGAAAATTGGAGAGGGTATTGACAATACTATTGACCATGTAGGGTTGGCGCCAATATTTCCATCAATACTCAGTGTAATAAACTCAACATTCAAAATGGAATACCTACTTTTATTTAATTGTAACAATAACAAAACATCTCTATCAACACACTGAAAGACATATGTTATTTTAACCCTTTAACGTGCAAATTATTTTTTCATTTTTAGAAACGATTTAGTTGTGGTACTGCAGCTATTTGACCTTATTGATCTCTATAGAAGCCAATAAAAGTTAAAGGGTTAACCCAGATGATTTGAAAACAGGTTTAATTCTTATTTTCTACATCACATTCCGACCCATTAACTGACGTTGTTGATGTTCAACACGATGCAGATACTGTTGGTTCATCCAGTTGGTTCATGTCTTGTAGGACATATATAAAGGTTTCACAGGTTTCTATTACAGCTTTGCTGATAGTTGTTGGGGACATTATGACAGAAAACTTCAAGTCTTCAACATTTCTTCCTGTGGCCAAGTACCTCAGGGTTAAGGCTGATCTTTCCCTAACACTTGTACTTTCTCTCATATTGCTATCTTGTCATTTCAAAAATGGTTCAACCATCTGTAACAGTTTGTTAAAGGAACTTTCATCCATTCAAAAGTAGTTCTTGAAATTATCAACATCGCAGAGGTTGATTTCTGTCAACAGTACTAGATAAGAATATTTATCTCTCTTCAACTATTCTTTCATCCAATGTTTGCATTTCACTCGAAGAGTAGTTTCAATCGCCAAAATAATAGCTACGCAAGCTTTTGTACGATTATCCTTATTTGGAAAGGAAAAACCGACAAATAACCGAGTAAAAAAAAACTACGTAGATTCATACTGTTCGTGGTAAAAAGTTAATTTATTGAGCAAACTTATTGACAAAAGTATTGACAATGATATTGATTGTGTAAGGTAGTGAAGTATTGAGACTGGTTACCACGAGGATTGATGGTTGTATTGTCAATACTATTGATCGTGTAAGGGCCACTTTATAAAAACGAAATCTTTTTTAAAAAATTAAATATCACAATTTCAACGGTTAAAATGGTGAGGAAACCTGAAATGTGACACTAGATTGATTATACCTTCTGCGACTTGATATATAAGGAATTTCAACCGTTCTGGGAACATTTATTACTGACAAAAGGACTTTATTATTTGACCATTACCGAGATTTGTGATCTTGCCACATGCTGTACTATTACTTCTCCGCAACTCGCGATGTATAAACCGCAATATGAGGTCACAAAGCTCTCCACTTACTGTCGCGCTGATATTAAATTTCATACGTTTCTTGTGCCTTTGAGGCAACTTTAACGCAGTAGCATCCAGTGTACGTTTGCAAACGGAAACTTCCGCTAACAACGGCCCTCGACTCGGACAAAACGTTAAGTAGTCCTCTCTGAGTATTTCGGCATTCTCGGCACGACACAACACGTTCAGTTCAGTAGCGCGCAAGTTGCAACTGGAGACCCTCAGGAGTTTCCCTCGAACTTAGTTTCGAGGGGCAATGAGGGTTGGTTGCATCGTAGCATCTGTTGGTTTCGGGTAATTCGTCAACTTATTCCCGGACAATCCGGTTAGATAAGTTTGATCGGCGTTGTTGAATTACTCACCTGTCCAACAAGCCACCGGATTCATTGGCTTAATTACCTTCGCAGCAACGTGATTTATTTAGCTTTTGCTTCAAGACGAAAAGTTTGCGGCCGAACAAAAAGTTTAGGTCATTAGTTTAGTACAAGAAAAATAGTGCTTAACTAACGATACCATCAACAACACAAAGAGCTATAACTTGAGACTCTCAGCCTTTGTACTCGGTGACTTCAAACGGTGGAAGGGAAAAGTTTTGTCAAAGGGCATCTTTAGTATTAATATGTTAAGAAAGTAGTGTATTAGTTTCGTGGTAAGTTCTAATTTAAAATTTTTCGATTCATTTACGAGAATATGTGAATTATTGAAAGATATTGAATTTTCGGAAAATCTAGGGCGCGCTTTGACCACTTTAATGTACTTTTCGTACCCCATTTGCACGACGCGTTCTCCACTCGCCCTCCACTAAATTTTAATAGGCCATTAAAAAAAAGGGACACATTTCAGGTACCCGAACTAAATTACAAGAGCAACGTCACCGTGGTGAATTACGACCGAAAAATCGGAGCTCGTTGGAAGGTCGCTTTTTCCAACGTCTTTTATCATGGGTTTTGGGGCAATTAGGAACACTTATCCCGAAATTTGCGTCGTTTATCTTTTCCCGGCCATTAGCGTATTATCGGGCGGTATATTATGTAGCCGCTAGGCGATAAAAGTGTAATTAAAAATACTCGTGAATCACCCCGTTAACATTGTGCAATTACCAAGGATATAAACGGCTTTTCAGTGTCACTTTAATTGTATAACCTGGGAAGGTCAATTGTCAATAGCAATTTATAAAAGGGTTTTAAAAGAAAATTAAAATGGATAAAAGTCTATTAGATGAGCGTAAATCACATTATGTTAAACCGATTATTAAAGTTAAGCGCCCCACGTTACCTTTTATACCATCTGATAAAGCATCGCGAAGGGTGATAGCACCATACGTAAATATTGTAAGAAAAAGCAAAAAAATCGCCGTGAAAGATGACACCAATAAATACATTAAAGCGTTTCTCCAAAAGAAACCGAGCATCTTAGTGAGTACTTTAAAAGAATTTTTGGAGGGTATAGTTGAGTTACCTATTCTTATCCACGAAAGTATTGACGCGCTTAAAATCGTAACATCCTCTATTGGTGGGAGATTATATTTAGTGGACGATTTCTTAAACGAAATTTTTGTTAGCCCCAAAGAAGATCCGTTCCCAAAAAACAGATTGAGCCTTAAAATTGAAAAAGGAAAAACTGTTGCGGCTCACGTCGCCGCCACCCAAGAAGCCGTATTATCCGAAGACATCTTAATCGATGCAAGGTTTTCCCACGGCGTACCCTTCATAGATTTAACACTTAAGTCGGTTTTATCCGCGCCTATCCTAACGGAAACCGGAGTTTGCTATGGAGTCGTCGAACTGTACCGAGATTGTAGTCAGAAATCCTTTAAGCAATCCGACACGAAGATTGTTTTGGTTGTTTTGGGGTGGATTGGATCGTCCATCCGTAGAAACAACGAACGAATAAAAGTTCTACATCAAAAACAATTAGATGATTGCCTCATTGAATTAACAAGAACTTATTTTTCTCATAATATCTCGATAGATAATCTTATTAGTGAGTTAGTCAAGTTCGCTAAGAGTGCGGTTAATGCTGAAAAGGCGTCGCTTTTTGTGATGCACCCCGATAATGAGTTAATCGCCGACATTTACGATCAAGGTTTACCAGATTACGGAGGTGATATGGTTAAGCGACATGAAAAAGTTAAATTGGCTAAAGAGAAAGGAGTCGTCAGTTACGTAGCGAAAAATAAAAAGTCAATTCTTGTTAAAGATGCTTATCGAGATAAGGTATTTCACAAGGAAATTGATCCTAATACGGGGATGATAACGAGATCGGTTTTGTGTGTGCCCGTTTTGAGTATGAACAGTCTTCTTGGAATTATTTTAGGTATAAATAAAACAACAGGGGATAGTTTTACAGATTCTGATTTGGAAATTTTTAATACATTCGCGGTTTATTGTTCGTTATGTTTGCAACATTATAATCTGTCGAAAGGTTATAATGTTTATCGAGCGCGTTATGAAATTATTTCTGGTCTTATGAAGCGCCACATTTTCCCCAATGAGCACGATCTGCAAGAATTGGTATCCAATCCAGAATTTTCAGAAGATATTGAAACGCTAAATACTTTTAATTGGTATATCAATCTTGATTATACAGATGAAATGCCGCAAATTGCCGTGTATTTAATAATGTCGATTGCTGATGAGGGTGATATCGATATAGACCAACTCTATAAATTCGTGTTAAGTATGAGAATGTTATACAGAAAAAATATATATCATAATTGGGAGCATGGATTTAATGTATGCCATTGTATGAGAACAATTATAAAACATAACATGGAAAAATTCACTGCAATTGAAAGAAAAACTTTAGCCGTTGCTGCTTTAGGACACGATGTTGATCATGGTGGTGTTACAAACGGGTTTTTACGTCTTACTAATGATGTTATGGCTGAGTTGTACGAAGAATCTACTTGGGAGTGTCATCATTACGATATCACCATGATTTTACTTGGTGAAATTCCGATTTATAAAAATTGTTCTCCCGAAGAATATAAAACAATATCCGACCTAATTTATAGCGCAATTATAGCCACCGATTTAGTAAATTATTTTAAAACCAGTGCAAAACTAAACTTTATGATTCAAGATGAAATTTTTGATATTGAACATCCGCTTCATAGAGTGATGATGATTGGGGTTATGATGACAGTTGCAGATCTATCAGGGCAGTGCAAAGATTTCGAAGTAACCAACAGAATCACAATGAATTTATACGAAGAATTTTACAATCAAGGTGATATGGAGAAACTTATGGGATTCGTTCCATTAGCCATGATGGATAGGGAGAAAATCTCCGCGGTCCCATCAGATCAAGTTCATTTCTTGCAAGTTTTAGTAATACCGTGTTGCGATCTCCTCACGAAAATTTTTCCGAATACTTTACCTTTACTCGATGGCGCTGTTGATTTAAAGAGAATTTGGACTAATATCGTCGAAAAAAATGATACAAAGTGGTGGTCACCCAATCATTTCGTAAGCAACAAGCTTTACGAGAATGATTTAAATATTTATAAGAAATAAAAATTGTAATTGAAGTATTATTGTTGCATTTTTATTCGGTCGCTTTAATAGTCTAGAATGTGATAACATTGAAGGGAGTGAACGTAACATAATCCTTATTGATGGACGCATTAAAATCGAAATAGTCAAACACGAAATACGATAATTATTAGTAACCGATTTTGCAACCAATTGTGTATTTAATATTTAGTATCTTTATGATATAATGAGTGTGTTATATCTCAAATATACCAACTCGGCCGTAAGTGACCTTGTGATAAGCATAATATATAAGTAGTAGCCGCAATCTGTGGTGACCGAGGTGTTGCTATTGACTAATATAAAATGCGATTAAGTTGCACACCAAATAGTTTTAATAACCACTCTTGAAATCGAGTATTTATTTAAAAGTTTGTATCTTCACGCAGGTGTGAAATATAACGTATTGGCTAACATTATTTACGAAGACCATGACTGATAAATGTTGGTCTGTCAAGATACCAAATTGTATACGAAGATGTACAAATCTCCTGAGATTACTGAAAGAAGATTAATAACAAAACTGATGAAATAAAATATATAAGCATATCCTAAATATTGTATAAGCCTGTGTGTTCTGTGTTAATAGTGATGTGTAGATTCCTTTCCAATTTATTTTCCATTGGCCAAGCTAGTACATCTATGTTGTACATATTTTCTAACACATTCTCTATTTTGCAGAACAGGTTTTTTAACGAGAACCTTGGTGTTATCCTGGATTCAATCAATTTGACACTGATTACGAATTCAAAATTACAACGAGCAGCTCAGAGTATGCAACAATATTGACTACCAGAAATACTCGATCCAACACTATTAACTTACATAACTGTGCCATTAACATGTAGGCGAACCAGTTAACTAAGGAGGTTAATGGCTAATAGTTATGTAGAGGTATTTAATCATTGAGGAGAAAAGAGTCTTGGAATCTACTAATAATTTTATATATTGCAAAACAATTTTGGACAGAAATATTATTATGGCATGGACTAGAAGAGAATAGCAGCTGTAGTGATATATCTTGAGCCGAATCAGAACATCAGGAACAGAAAAAACGGTATGGTCATTTTGAGAAATAAAGTACCATGTGTAGAAGCGAAATATTAGGGGTAAAAACCCTCATGACTTTTTATATTTATCTCTGACCACGATTTGCCTTCAGTAGGGAACTTTTCTAAATTGCCGTTTTTGCATCTATGATTGTTTTGGCGTGATATGCATGCTCCATCATAAAGATTTTCTAACAATCCCACCAACATTGTTCATAAGATATTAAGCAACATATATTGAGCAACAGGCGCCAATAGATGTTTATGTTTTTTAGTTTCGTTCCCATCCAGTGTGGTCTTTACTTGACTCTATGCTATACCCTCTGCAATTAGGTCTCTATTTAAGTTTCATCTTTATTTGTCATTTTATTTCTTCGTTTTCCTCTGTCTTATTATAGAATATTGAACGAATTGTCTTGTTATATTGCCATTTTCGTTTTTTAATTATTATTTCTACCTTCTTTCTTATTATTCCTGTTCTTTGTAATAATTTTTCATTAGATATTTTTATGGTCAAAATATTTGTAGTATTTATCTTAAGCAATCGTACGGTCATGTCGCAGTTTTAAATCTTTATGACCATCTCTCTGACATCTCTTTTATAATTGCACCTTACTTTTTCATGATCGTTTGTAGTCGGTTGTAAAACTCTTCCTTGATTTCTATTTCTTGTTTATTTCTTGAGGCATGCATATTTGTCGTTTAGGATATTGCGATACTTATTTTGGAAGTGTGCCCATATTATTACCTCTGAGGTTGGTTCCCATTTTAATAGAGAATTCTTAGTACCTCAACCCATCATAAAGGCAATTTTCTCCCTTTTTGCATGTTCTTCCAAATTGTGGAAGTATAAAACTGCGGAGCTATTTATTTAGCGTAATCTCTCCCTAGAGTCCATTTTGTTCCGTTTAACCCTAATGTATTAACTTTATATCTTCTTGTGATACTAGACTAGTTTTGCTTATTTGGTATATGGTTTTGACATTCCAATAAACTATATGGAGAAAAATCGCGGTAAGTATGTTTTTGCATGTGTCGAAGCATGGGATGAATTCTGTACGCAAGAATTTCATTAGTTTGACAAGAAATTCTGATCTTTATTATTTGTATCTATACCTCCTGCTTGTTTGCTATGTATAGATATGTCATCTGTGATCTTGATTTCATCTTTCACTGCATTGGCGAAGGTTTATTAGTGTTGTGATGGAAGCCGTTTGAAAAAGTATTAATTAATTCTTCCAGTCCTTTCCTTTCTTTGTAGTTAATGTGGATAATACGTAGAGTTTCTACAAAATCCTGGTGATTTATGAAATTTTATATCCGTTCAATATTACGTGAGCCTTTATTTCCTTAAGTCTATCGATCCGATAAAACCGTCGACGTATTCAGGGAATGAAAAGAGGACATACTCGAATATTTCCGGAATGTTAAATTCCTGAAGTAACAGAATATTGGCATGTCTACACTCGCTTTTTTCGTGTTCTATGCAAGTCGATACATAAGTTGAGATCTGGTGTCAATTAATAGTTTTGCAGAAGGAATCTTTCGAATTCGTAAACTCAAATTTTTGCTCATTCATGTCTTTTACTTTATTCACTACAATAGTGGTCGATCCTATCCTATTGATGACGAAAATTATTTTTAGCGATTTATTAATCGAGTTAGCATCCATTAGCTTTGACATTTATGCGATAGTGGTTTCCCGAATACTTGCTGATTTCTCAAAAATTGTTATTTTTATCGTAATGACAAAAACATTATCGACATCGATTGTGACGGGAATTTATTATTAGTAATGGGATTATGATAGCGATGTGTTGTTGCTTAATGATGGTTTGGATCAATATTTTGAGGGTATCGATAAGGGTAATTAGTTTGCGAAGGTGTTAGATAATGAAGGTTAATTGGTTATTTGGATTTTCATGTCACGCGGAATTTGATTAATATTAATCTTTCTAGGAAATCTATTATTTCGTGGTTCATTCTTGTCAGTTCTATGAATTCGTGGGTTAATGTTGTCCTCTATCTCAAAAATGTTCCGGAAACCATTTCTAATCAAAAATGTATAACCATATAACTAAATCGGATTTACACATACTAAAATTTGTTGTATTGTATCTAAATTTAGAATAACTTTGTTGGTATCACATCTAAAGTGAGCTATTACATATTTTCATGATCATTTTTAAATACTAATTTTGTTTTGAACAAAGACAATTTAATTTATTATCAGATTACTTAAACTTGTTTATGGCTGTGGTAAATTGTTAACTTGTTACTATGACTTTGTCGTTCCAAAATCATTTCGTGGAAATTTCGTTGTTTAGGCTGCAATGTAGCAAACGGGACTAATTTCAAGTACAAATTTATCATTGTTAGTACCGCTCCGAAACACAACCAACTGTATTATGTTACACAGCAGTAGGTTACAGCACATTCTCCACTTGAGTATAAGAGAACCAGACGTAGCTATTAAGTGAAGTAATTAGACATACAGAAGTATTAATACGTTTATAAACAGCCTAAACTTAATGACTCACACTTAATGATTAAATAAAAAAGAAAATTAATAAAAAGCGTTAAGAACAAATAAATGCTTAATAATCATTTTATTTATCTGATCTTGATAACAATTATACATATGTTTTAAAATTAATTTTAAATTAACCAGCAACAATGTGTACTTTATATGGGATTAATCCATCAAGAACTCTGAAATACACGTACATTTTTGATGTGTGTGCAATACCATTAGCACTTTCAGTTACAAACCAATTATTATTTGGCAATCTAACTCTTAATTGATTTTCGAGTAAAGTCATTCTACCACTTGAGGATAATCCAGTTTTGAATGCATACTCGGTAGCTGCAACGATTTCACTAAGAACGAATTCAACATCATTCGATTCCAAAACTTTAACCTAAAGATAACAAAAATTTTGTTACAGAAGTAATTTATTTTTATGTTATCACTTACTTCTATACCACGAACGTCAGGCACTGGATCTGCACAAGTGGAAGCCACAAAGGCTGCTAACACAAAGCATAAAATTGTAGCACGCATTTTCAAAATGAAACGTGTATTATTTAAAAATTCAACACCAAGTGTTTATATACTCAAATAAATCCTTATCAAAATTGGTAATGGAATCTTTAACGACAATATTTAACGTTAATCAATCACGATTGTTTCTGATTTCGCGAAAGTGCTTTAATTTACTTTTACTTTGAAATCAGTTAAAAAATAGATTAAAACGTTAGTTCTTATAAGATGACATCTTTAAGAACAAACAATTCATAGAAATAACTTTTCTTATTGATCTCTGTGTAAATAAGAATTTATTTTTGTGTGATTTGCAAGAACTGGTCGCCATATTTTCCTCGTAATGCGGATCGTGTCATCAAGTAACGTGAGGAAGTCAGGTGCTAGTATTCATTAAGTGGTTTGTGGTACGTGGTATCACGCCAAGTGTGCAAATCTGGACAGGGCATCCTCGGCGTTGCTATCGATTCTGAATGCATCGTGAAATGTCGGAGACAGTGAAACCGCAGCCGCTCAATTATATCTCCTCTCTCGTCACTGTCACATTCAGTGTGTGTTATAAAACCCGTATACGATATGATTCAAGAAATGCGTACTGAAATACTAATTGAAGTAAATAACTCATCTTGTTTGCATTTTTATATTGATATGGCATTGATAGACAGATAACTTTTACAAATCGATTGTTGTAATCATTGTTGTATGATGGAATGTGTGCATTAAAAAAAGAGAAATAATTTCTTTTGGTACTCAATGTCCTGATTGACAGGGGTATGAGGTTATCCTGAAATCCATTCTACTCAAATCATACTTGTTTTATTTATCCTTTAGAAATGAGATCGAAGTATTGGTAGTTCCATATAATAACACTACATATTACTTTAACTACATTTACTATAGAATTAAACTTAATTTATGGTGAGTTCAACCTGCCCGCAATGGCTTGGAAGAACGATAAAGTAATCTGCATATTAGGAGATCTAAACGAGATCAGAAAATATCAAGTACGAAATTATATCTTATTGAGGTTGATAGTTCACTGCGTTAGGTGATATTTGGTAAGGATCCACTATTGATGGTGTGCTAATTAAAAATTGTACTTAAGGAATATCAAACCCACTACAACTTATTTACAATAGCTCTAGTCAACACGCAGAATTCCCGGGAGCATAGAAACGGGCCAATATTACGGTGCAGAAAAAAGTATGTAACATCAACATTTTTTATAGTGAAGTACCAGATCGATACATCTGCAGTCCATAAAATCTTGATTAAGATATACAGTTTACTGATAAAAAAACGCAATCTATTTAGTACCCTCGCTTATCTATGGAGTTGCAGAGTGACCAATGATTTAAAGTGAAGCAGCAGATCGACACAGCTGCAGACCGTAAAACCTAATTAGAATAGAGCAAACTCTTCAATGTAATACAATTCACCTGATCTTTAAGAACAAATAGATAAGATTCGAGTTTACTCAAAATTTCGAGTTCCATATCCTGGCAGGACTCAAACAACATAGAGACCATAACTTGGAGAAGACAACAAAGTCATAAATCAAGAAATTGGACTTACCAGTAGAACCTGTAGAACCAGTAGATATCCATTACGATGTTTCAGGAGTGTAAAAAGCAGCGAAACCGCAAAGTCTAACTTGAGAGTTGGTCAAAAAAAGCTTTATGCAGTATAAAAGAGAAAATTGACGACTAATGTAATCCCCCGTGGTCATGAAAAAAGGAATAGGAAGATTGGAACGATCAAGAATAGTTAAAAAGATAAAAGAGCCAATTAAGTCAACTGATCTTCACCCGCAGGAACAGAAAACCGTCTTTGTACAAGCACCAGTAGCACCAACCTATTGCAAGCACACCTCGCAAAACTACTGTTCTTTACAGGAAACTGTTTCACAAGCAGGTGCAAAATACTTTGTGAATTAATTAGCAATATTTCCCTGGATTTGGAGGACATTAGTCAGCTTCGATGTGGAATCACTTTTTACTAAAATGCAGATAAAAGATGCTGTGTAGAGTTTTCCCTATCATCGATTTACTTATAGTGGAAAGAAACGTTTCATGAGTAACATGAGAAAGTTCGTACTCCATACTTCTATATGGAGCACTTTGAAGTAGTCATAATCCTAGCAAATCAAAGTTATGGCTGTGGTATGTGAGTAACACCTTTGCCATTTCGTAATACCGTAAAAAAAGGCTTAATCATTTTTTAAATCAACTTCGGAAGTGCTCCAGAGATATGGTTATAGACCGAAAAAAATCCAAAGAACCAACAAAGAGAAGAAGCAACAAACAAATTTGTTTTTTTCTAATCTATAGCACGCATTGCTGGTAGTAAAGTACAAACTTTCCGTGTTAAAAGTGTCTGGAAACTACAAATTGTTGCAAAAATGTGGAAAGTAAATGTGAAATTTCCTTCATTAAAAGACAATAAAATAGATTTTGACAAGATGAAAATACTTGCCAGGAACATCCACTATTACCAGGGGATGGCCAAAGAAGCTATAGAAATGTATCGCCATGCGAACATCAATAGATAGGAGTTCAGCAGAACATCGAAGATATAATTGAACTTGTTGAAGGATATCCCTACTCCATACCGAACGCAGCAATTAGCAAATACTAATTACTTCATTAATCAGTTAATAATTGGTTTTAGATAAAAAATTTTACTAAATACTTTCTTTTTACTTCATGGTGTTGCTAATATAACTAAAATTTAAACTATTATTGTCGAAAAATAAAACGTTATAAAGTGATGACCACCCGATCCTGTTATAAAGTGTAGAATGATACAAAACATGTCACAAACAAAAAATTTTAATTAAAATAGTAACTGTTGCTGTATTTTTTATCCGGTCGATTTAATAGCTTCCTTTGTGAATGTGAAAACATAGATGAGAGTGAGGGAAACATAATCCTCGTTGACGAATACCGACGAATGTAAACCGCATTTGTCAGGATTTTCGGAAGTTGCTGTCGGCGTTAAATTCGATATTTCTGGCCTATGAGGTGTCAGAACTGATTGTGAATTATCGCGCTGTGTACTCTGTAATATGCAAATCGCTGGATTAATGGTAATACATGACATTTCTTTTTTATTCCAATTTAGTTTTGAACACAGACATTTATAATTTATTATTACATTATGGACTTTTCTGATTACAAAGTTATTTATGTCTGAGTTAGGTTGTTAACTTGATTTTATTTTTTCATTCCCAAATCGTTTTGCGCAAATTTCGTTATTTAGGCTGCAATGTAGCAAACGGGACTAATTTCAAGTAGAAATTTATCATTGTTAGTAGTGCCTCGAAACACGACCAACTGTATTATGTTACACAGCAGGAGGTTAAAGCACACATTCTCCACTTGAGTATAAGAGCACCAGATGTAGTTATTAAATGTAGTAATTACACCTACAGCCATATTAATTCGTTTATTAGCAGTCTAAAGTTCCCGTGGGTACTATTTACTTTTAATGGGTCCATAAAGAAAAAGGATTAGTAAAAAACACCAGTAAAAAATTTAAAAATACAGGCTTAATTATATTTTTATTTATCGAGTCGTGATAACAATTGATTAGAAATTAATTTGAAATTAACCAGCAACAATGTGTACTTTATATGGGATTAAGCCATCGAGAACTCTTAAGTAAATGTACATTTTTGATGTATGGGCAACACCATTAGCACCTTCAGTTACAAACCAACTATTATTTGGTAATCTAAGTCTTAATTGATTTTCGAGTAAAGTCATTCTTCCACTTGAGGATAAACCAGTTTTGTATGCGTACTCGGTAGCTGTAACGATTTCATTAAGGATGAATTCAACATCATTCGATTCCAAAACTTTGACCTAAACATAAATATTTTTTAAAAACATGATTTTTTTAAAATTTTTTACTTACTACTATACCACGAACTTCAGGTTTTGGATCTGCACAAGCGGAAGCCACAAAGGCTGCTAATACAAAGCACAAGATTGTAGCACGCATTTTCAAAAATAATTAATGATTTAAAAATTCAACACCAAGTGTTTATATACTCAAATAAATCCTTATCAAAAATGGTAATGGGATCTTTCCGCTAATATTTAACGTTAATCAATCTCAATTGTTTCTAATTTCGCAGTAAAAGTGATTTAATCTACTTTTATTTTGAAATCAGTTAAGAAAATAGATTTATGCGTTAGTTCTTATAAGATGACATCTTTAAGATTAAACAATTCATAGAATTGATTAAATATTATCGAAGTTATATAACATTTATAATTTGTAGAAGTCAACAAATGAGAGCAATACGATAAAAGTAATAAAGAACAATCTAATTTAAATAAATTCTGTATATGAATTCGGTGATTTAAGTCAAGAATTTCTTTAAAGTTGTCAAAAATAGCTGGTTAAACAATAGTTAATTGATTGTTTCAGTCCGTTGAGTTAATTACCTTGAGAATATTTCTCAACTACTGAAGAAATGGTCTTTAGTAGTCTATGTGTAAACATCGCATTGGTTTGGTTGCATAAACCTAGGGATGAACTATACTTTGAGTGGATTGCTCTTCTTTCAACAACAAGTTTTCAATATCACCATCAATACCTGGCCACCATGCATATCTTCATTTCATTGATTTCAACATACGGTTGATGGAATTCTGCAAGGAGTTGGAGGAGGTTTTTGCTACCTCATAATAGGTCCATCTGTCTTCATGTATACACATCTTCTTTAACAATAAATCCCAAAGAGATCTTTTTTTAATTTATGAAAAGTGCTGTCTGAGTCCACTCACGATCTCCATTCGAAGTACCGTTTTGTCCACTAATAATCCTTCATTCGTGGGATATGAGCCGCCCAGTTCCATATAAGTTTTGCCACAACGTTGACTACATCATTGGGCATACCCAGTACCGACCTCTCTATCTTTCTCTGCGTTACTTTGAGCTTTTTCGCAGTGCCAACCGTTAATGTTAAAGTCTCAGAGCAGTATGTTATAGCCGGCAGAATGCACTCATGTTGTACCCATACCCTGTAGTATGCAAATGAAAACAGTTCGGACATTAAAGAACAGAAGTGGGACATTGAAGAAAACTATAGATTCAAAAGATTGATCTTTGTCAAGGGCAATTTGAACTATAGATATTTCAAAAGATGTTAAATGGCTCAATTCCATCTGTCTCACTAAGTAATTCATTTTCTGGAAGTGCAATAGCTGTTTGAGGTTGAACTTAAATGTTTGAGGAAAACAAGCATAAAAAATTTCCTCGTCAACCATAAATCTCCAGATTTCCAAGAATAACATTAAATTAATGCTAAATGCTCAGAGACCAGAGGACAAATGCTAAATTTAAGGCAACTCGTAGAAAAATTCCGAGAATTCAATATCCCTGCGTCAACTAGAAAATGCAGTGGAGGGTTCTTCGTGATATGGGAGTGCCAGAACACCTAATTATACTCATAATAAATATTTTTCGACAATAACATAGCTACATGGAGATTACAAACCTGAGATATTCAGACGATACAACTTTATAAACATAATTGCATTAGAAAAGGAAATGACTGACTACATCATTGATCACACCCAGTATCGACCTCTCTATCTTTCTCTGCGTTACTTTGAATTTTTTCGCAGTGGCAACCGTTAATGTTAAAGTCTCAGAGCAGTATGTTACAACCGGCAGAATGCACTGATTAAGCCTTTCTTTTCAAATGTATGGGAATATCGCTTTTGAAAATATTTCTAAGTCTCTCGTAGGCTGCCCAACCGAGAGTGGTCCTTCTGTTTACTTCTCTTGTTTGATTATCTCTCGATACACTCTCAACCTCATTATTACCAATGTTGATGTTAGAACTAGAAATAAGATTTGTCATAAATTTCGATTTCCCAAGTTGTACCCATCCCCTCTAGTGCGCAAATGAAAACAGTTCGGACATTGAAGAAAACTATAGATCCAAAAGATTGATATTTGACAAGAACAATTTGAACTATAGATATTTCAAAAGATGTTCAATACCATCCGTCTCAATAAGTGATTCACTTTCTGCAAGTGCAATAGCTGTTTGAGGTTGAACTTAAATGTTTGAGGAAAACAGGCATAAAAAATTTCCTCGTCAACTATAAATCTCCAAAATTCCAAGAATAAAATTAAATTAATGCTAAATACAATAATCGTGCCATCTCATTGATTTCGCACCCGAGTAGGATTCTGCACCGAATTATTAAACGACGGTTGGAGTCTTATCTGGACCGGCAGATCCCATACGAGCAGGCAGGTTTTGTAAAGGAAAAAGGAACAAGAGAACAAATGCTAAATTTAAGGCAACTCATAGAAAAATTCCGAGAATTCAATATTCCAACGGTCGTCTGTTTCTTGGAATACAAAAAGACTTTTGACTACGTCAACTGCAAAATGCTGTGGAGGGTTCTTCGCGCGATGGGAGTGTAACGATACCTAATTATGCTCATAAGAAACCTCTACGACAACAACATGCTCAGTCAGAATAAAGAACCGACACTCTTTGCACTTTAAAATTGGTAGGGTTATACACCATGGGGAAAACATAATGAGAAAGACATTGGAAGTATGAAATGGAGGGATTTCAATTGCCGGCAAGGAGATTACAAACCTGAGAGATGCAGATTATACAACTTTGATAGTTGCATTAGAAAAGGAAATCTTTTAAATCGAGAGTAATAAATGTAACTTTAAGATTAATGCAGAGAAAACCAAATTTGTGATCGTCGATCGTTCTGGTGTTCTGCAACTGACATAGATATCAAATCGTAAACCAGATCATCTATTTACTTATTTCACCTACCTATTTACTTTAGGCTCATATATTGATAATACAGGTTCAAGTGAGAGCGACATTCGAAGAAGAATAGAATTGACTAATGGTGCAATGAGCAGGGGCAAAGGTAATACAGTCTATTCCATCTTCCGATGTGGGGTTGAAATGTGGACAATTAAAGCAGCGGACAGAAAGCGAATTAATGCGTTTAAAATGTGGTGCTAAAGGCGCATGCTCCGAATTCCGTAGATAGCGCGCAGATCGAACGAATCGATTCTTAGAGAGTTGAATATCCAGAATAGATAATCTTCTAATTTGTCTTGCATAAATCCTGAGGTGTTTTGAACAAATTACACGAAGAGATGGTAATAATATGGAAAGATTGATACGAATATTGTACGAATATATATAATTTAAGTTTCAATTGATTCTCAGTAATGTCTTTCATCATTTCCGATTAAACCTGAATTGTAAGCAAAATTAGTCACTTCAAAAATTATACATAATCGTCAAAATTTTGAAACTCAAAAACTGAAACCTAAAAAAAAAACAAATAATTATGAACAATGAAAATTTTTTATTTACTTCGTCTCATTAACAATAAAGAAAACGATATTAATCGGAAATTACGGAGAAGTAGCTATGATATGTACTGTATGTGGGAATAAAAAACTAGTAACTTTTAAGTAAGCGTACACTTCTGAAGAATGAGCCACACCATCTGCACCTTCAGCTAAAAACCAATTATAACCTGCTATTGTTGTTTTCAATCGCGATTCGAGTAATTTCATTCTCCCATCAGCGGATGATCCCAAATCGAAAGCGTATTTAGTGGCTTCAATAATATTATTTAGTATTTGATCAACACCGTTTGATTCTAAAACATTAATCTGAAATGAAAAGAAAACAGTTTTTTTTTACTTATTTTATGTTTTACTTACTTTTAAACGGCTAAGTTCAGGTTTTGCGGAAGATGAAACCACAAAGGCAACTAACACGAAGGTAAAAACTGTAATTACACGCATTTTCTTACAATTTTTGGTTTCTAATAGTTTCGAAGTTTTAACAAGACTGTTTATATACCCTATCTTTAAAAAAATGTTAATGGGAATTTGATGTTTTCCAATATGTTTAGTAAAACTTTTAGTTTTATCTTGAAATCACTTAATAGAAAATAAATAAATTATATAAAAATTCATTAAGTTTAACAAAATAATATTTATTTCATCTCAATAACAATTAATAAGATGATATTAATTAAAAATTAACATGCAACGATATTCACTCTATGTGGGATTAACCCATCCAAAACTCTTAAGTAAACGTATGTTTTTGAAGTGTGAGCTACAGCATCTGTACCTTCAGACACAAACCAACTATAACCTGATATTTTAACTACCAACTGATTTTCCAGTAAGGTCATTCTTCCTTCAGCGGTTAAACCTGTGTCGAAAGCGTATTCGGTGGCTTCGACGATTAAGCTCAAAAATTCCGCAACATTTTCTGATTCCAATACTTTTATCTAAAGGGTATAATTTCGTTTAGATTTATTTTAGTTGATTTTATATTATAGCTTACTTCTATTCCGCGAGATTCCGATTTTACTTTCGATGAAGCCACAACGGCAACCAACACGAGACCAAAAACTACAATAGCACGCATTTCAAATTATTTTATTCTATTTAATAGGTTCGATTACAACTCCAAGCGTTTATATACTTAATTAAATAAAAATATTTAAAAAAACGTTAATGGAAAGTAGATGTTTTTAAACTATCACGTTTATCTTGAAATCATTTTGTAATAGAAAACAATACGATAAGGAATCCTGTATAAAATGAGGCATAATTGGCAAACTCGTTGTTCAATAACTTAGATAGTTGCATTACACGATCAGCATTAGGATTCCGTTATTAACATTTCCTGAATGGCGATAGTTTCAGACGTGAAACTGAAATTAGTCGCTTCCACGTTGACTTTGGCCCTAAATTTTGCTCCAAACAGGATTAATACTCTCTTATAAATCGATATTGTTTTCATTACACATAAAAGTAAGGACAAATATTTGCAGATAAAGTGATTCGAGTTAAGATTGACATACGTTATCCATTAAAACGAAACGGTTCGGTGCGATTCGATCGTTATCTGCTTATTTATTTTCTTTTTTCAAGTACGATAGTTGATGAGATTTTAGGAAATTTTGAATTTGCTGTCACTACCAGCAAGTGCGAAATTCCTCGAATTTTATATACCTCGGTTAACTTGTTAACCGATGCAATTGACATCGTCATCAAAGTCCTTTACATCAACGTTGTTGTCAGATCTATTTTATAAAACCCATTTGTAAATGAAATGAAATGATCGTTCACAAAAACAATAACACATGTTTTAATTTGTGTTTATAATAATAAAGTAACAATGAGTTATCTCTTAGGTTTTATCAGATTGAAAATTTTAAAAGGAACGTAATCAAGTTAATGGAAAATGCTTGTAAAATATAAGATAAGTTTTAATATAAAATGGGCGATTTTTTTTCTTAGATGGTATACGAAGAAGAAACGTGAAATAAAAATGAAACTCCTAATAGTAATCTGTTGCTTCTTGAGCCTTGTATTTGTTCAAAGTGAGGAAATACAACGAGCAGTCACGGTAAGTACTTTCATTTAAAACTAAATGGGACATTTAAAGTATTAATTTTTTTAATTTTTAGATTAAAACTGAAGAACAATCGGACATTTCAGCATACCTTGCAGATATTTACGATGCTATTGAATACGCTTACGAAAATGGTAGTGGTTCTGAAGGTAGAATGGACGCTTTGGATCAGTATTTATTATACAGGACTGAAGTACCAAAAAAATGGATTTGTATTGAAAACGCCGATGGACTTTCGCATTTATCCTCAGAATTTTATGGTTATTTCAAGGTTACTAAAACTCTTTTAACTTACAGCGTTAAACTTATTTGTTTAGATTGTGAATAATAATTAAGATTTTTAAATGTATAAAAAATACTTAAATAAATATGTTTGTATAAGAAGAAATAGCGATAATATTGATAACTGATTCATTAAGTTAAGATGCTATATTTTAGTTGAACATGAGCGGTTTCTGAACCAAACTGGATATCTGGTATTCACACCACGAAAGTTTTTTCCAATAATTATAGGGTATTTAGGTGTGATGGAGTCAATGATCAATGATTAAACTCAAAAAAAAAGTGATTAACTGTGGTAAAGTGATTGTTACATTATTTGATAGAAGAAAATTCGATAATTGGCTAAGTTTTGAGAAGAAACCTAATTAGAACATAATGACAGAAAAGTTAAGATTAAGGTCAGATAATAAATGTAAGTCGATAATCAATCAGTTAATAGCATTTTTGATATAAAAATAATCATTAATAGAGTTGTGGTAAGAAACAGAACATTATATACAGTATATTTAGAAATGGCAAAGACCTTTGAGGTAGATGCAAAATTTTTGCCCGTTTTGGTAAATGACACCCAAGGAATAAAAAATTTACACATTGAAAATTATACTTAATGACTAAGAGGAACGCTGAAAGACATNATTGTAATACTTGAGACAAACTTGAGTGACGTTCTAATAGTCTCTGTAATAAAGTATTATGTAAGTTTTGCAATTGGGAAATTTGATTCTTTAAGAGTTTCTATCATAAATGTTACAGCTACATCTGCCGTTAAGAGATTTGCATCTCTTCGACATAAAGCCTCCATTGCTAATTTGACAGGTGTTAGTGATAATATTGCATCATTAATTTTACGGAAAATAAAAATTTATAAAAATACGAAAATACCGAAAAATACCGGTATTGTGAAAAAAATACCGGTATTAAATTTGGCAAAAATCGGTCGGGATCCCGGTATCGGTATTACCGGGATTCCGGTATTCCGAACCCTACACCCAAGGAATAAAAAACTTACACATTGAATTATACTTAATGACTAAGAGGAACGCTGCAAGACATGAATTTCCCAGAAAATTTTCCATAAAGTATTTCTGTAAAATTTTCCATAAAAAATTCTTCTCTGAACTCACATCAAGCTGAACATTACAAAGGGGCTATAATTGAACATATTGGGGCATGCCTTCAAACGAAAATATTTGGCAACAGATCTAATGTAGTGTAAAGGTTTTCAATGTTCTTACGAATTCTATAGGAAAACATTTCTTTCGTTAATTTGACTCAAACGAAAATTGTTATGTCTATGAAAAAAATTGACTACACGAAACAAATCCTACGATTTCCCAAAATTCCATTTTTCCAAATTGTATTGAATGTTGTGAATATGGAATACATAAGAGAGAAGTGATTCATAAGAGATTCAAGAGAGAAACGAGGCTTTTTCTACGAATTAGTGGAAGCTATTATTGTTTTTCCACAATTAATTAAGTGATATGGATGTGAATCGTCGAAGGAAATAATTATAACCTGTTGATTAAAACTTAACTTTTTTTTTAACGGGATTGAAGAAACAAATCTCCTGCTGATGGAAATAATTTTTATTGGTAAGGTAATCGCTTTCAAAGAGTCTGTTGTCCCAGTAAGATCAAACCAGAGGAAAAGAAAACCTTTGATTGTCATCATGGCATGAAGGTGTGATCTTCAATTTTCCAGAAATACAAATTTTGCAGATACTCCTTTTCAGTTTAGGACAGTATTGCTAATTAATTTTCTAGCATTGTCATGACCATTCGCATAATAGTTAATTATGGCAGTTTTAAAATGCTTGATTGATATACAACAACGACAACTTCATAAATTTAAATTTAGATACCTACTAGGAGACTGGAGTTAAATTGTTAACTGATAAAGATACCATAAAAGATATTAATATAAATATGCATCAAGCAAAGATTGTGCTATTTGTAGTCTTTCAAAGTTTTATAGTACCTTTCTGTTACATTACAATCTATGTTTTATGTTACTTTGTAGGGGATTCTTTTCTGTTAGTTATTGCTTTAGAATTTCAACAATCAGATGTTGTATGAATTATGGTATAGAATGGATTCTCTAACGTCTATCCAACAGAAGAATAATTATGGCACCTAATTAATAGAGAATTCTTAGTGGCATAAAGTACAAAGGTATTGTTTTTTAAAGATAAAGGAATAAGGAATGTATGACATCAACATAAAATATTAAATTATTAATAATAATAAATATGCTTAATTCTTTATTAAAATAAATTCTTGTAACCTAATACAAATCCTTGTAATCTACTACGATCCAAAACCAACTTGCAAACATACATGATTAATTTGTCTACAAATATCGCATACATTGAGACGAGCCATTTTATCTTCTGAATATTGAACGACAGGTTGTTTTAATTCAACTTTTACTGGATCTTGAACATTATCATTAACCTTAGGACAACTACTACATAAGTAATCAGCTGCAGGAACACAAATTTTACTAATGATCCAATCGCGAGTTAACTCATTAAGATCCTAAAAAACAAAAATATAAGTCACCTTCATCATTTATGTCTTAATTTTACTAAAAGGATTCTTACCTCGGCTGCTGCCATTTGTAAACAAATCAATGCTGATAAAAACAACAAGTATTTGGCGACCATCTTGATAGTTTGGTAAATCAATCAATGATAAGCGAGTCGATACTAAAATTTGTCCGTTAACCGAGAGTTTATATACTTCTTCCGAAGTAGTATATTACACAGTTAAAGTACAGTTATGCAATTTTAAACAAACATGCTCTTTCTTAATAATTCGATGGTACTTAAGTAATAGATTAATAAAAATTTAATATGTATTTGCTACTTTATTTATTTTAAGGTAATACAGATATACATCTAATCTACGGATTAAATAGAGAGATGTTTACTTAAAATTATATAACTTAACTTTAAACCAGTACAACTTCAAATACTCTTAGTTTTCTATTCTCTTTACTGGGTTAGCAAACATGTTCTAGTCCGGATTCGCTAAAGATGGCCAACAAACGATTAGTTTGCAAATTGCAGGAGCCGATGTAAAACATTCTTCGATGTTATATTTTGTTGGAAAGACTTATTTGTCTTCTCATTTTAATTTTCCACTCCTATGACAAACCATGCAATAAGAAAAGAAAGACTTTAACTTCAATGTTCTATAAATGGAATTACTACAAGATTAAGTTTAAGAAGGAGTTTGTGGATCTCTGTACTCAACATCAATGTCCAGTCATCCTCTACCGTGCGTAGAGGGTGATAAGAAGAAAAAATAATTTGTTATCCAGTTTGTTATCAAACCATTTTGTCTCCCTAACGATATTTAATTTAGCGCTCAACAAAAATAGCTTGACGACGTCATCAGAAAATGATTCAAATACATAAAGAGGGGTACACGATTCTTTGTCTCAATTCAACTCTGTTTCTGAACGTGATTTCATCTACCTCTCCATCAACACCTTCGCTCCAACTTCGTGGTCTGCTCTTCCTTCTTCGTCCATTTCTTGTACTATTTTGCTGATAAGCTTTTGTTGGTAAAAGCTTTAAAACACCCATTTTAAGAATATATTTCAGTGAAATCGATTAATTTTTTTAAAGCTTTATTTAATTTGGTTTGAAAAAAATATTTCAAGTTTGTTTATTTTGGAATGAAATTCGGGTTGCAAAACGATTTAGTTTATCGTTTTGTAAATGAAAAAAATTAAAAATCCAAAAAATGTTTGTTCGAAATTATATAATTCAATTTTAAACAAATAAACAGGTACTTATGATGAAATATATAAACACTCGATTACCGGATAAATGTTAGTTAATAATCCGTTTTTTGATCGTCGTTTCGATAATTTTTGAAGATGGCCAGCAAATACTTGTTGATTTTATCCGCATTTTTTTGTTTACAAACAGCAACAGGCGAGGTAAAACTTTTCATTTTTAAATTAAGACATAAATGATAAAGCTAACTTGTGTTTGTGTTTTTTTTAGGATCTTAACCAATTAACTCGCATCTGGATCATCAATCAAATTTGCAAACCTTCTTCTGATATATTATGTAGTAATTGTCCTAATTTATATGGTAATGTTCAGGAATTATTGTATGGAACAATTGAATTAAAAAAAGCTATTGTTCAAAATTCCATTGACACCAAGCTGTCTCGTGTTAATCTATGTTCAATTTGTAAACAAATTGATCATATATGTTTTCAAGTGGGGTTTGGAATGTAATTTTAATAGATTTAATTTTAATTTATTTTAATAAAGAATTAAGGACAATAAGTTTTAATAATTTTTCATCTGTTTCTCCCCGCTCAGAAATTATGATTTGAAATTGTAATAAATTTTACAAATAATTTAATAATAAATGGTTACACAATTTTTAAAGGCTTTTTAAACTGGTCAATTTATTTAAAATGTATTTGTCTTTTTAGTTTTGGCATTAAGCCATCATCAGTGACAAATTGTAAGTAAGAACAAAGTGATTAAGAGCTTGTTAAGAATAAAATTTGCTACTACTTTTATTCTAAAATTCTTTTTGTAATATGCTCCGAATCTCGAGTGATACCATTAATGAGCAACGAATAAATCTAATTTTCATATTTTAGTAATTTTCTCGATATTGTAGACAATTGTAGACAAATGTTACCATTAATTTCATCAAATTTAGTTATCTTTTATTAATAAAGGAAATTTTTGACCATAAATCAAATTTTTTTATGCCTTTTTAGTAAAAACTATTTAAAGATGCACTTTTTTGATTGGAGAAACTTGTTTATCAAGAATCACATAACCTCGAGAAACATCGTTCACCATGATAGTAGATAGACATTTGGTGTCGTACGTTACTTAGCTGAGATTTGTCTTAAATAGCTTTACCTATTGTCGCTGTTTTGTAAGGAAATCGCAATATGTAGATTGATGCCAGATTTGGTATCACAATACACTCCACATATCTTGTGTAGAGGACAACTCTTATCCTAAAAGTCTTTTTACATGCTCTGCATCCCGAGAAACCCCATTAATAGCGTGTAATATCATGATTTCATCTAATTTTCACATTTTTGTATTTTTCTCGATATTAATGCATCTAAGAGCAAAAGTATAAAAAAACAATATTGTTAAGAATAAAATTTATGAATCAACAACAATATGTAAAACCGCGATTTCATCTAATTTTCATATTTTCGTAATTTTTTCCATATTTATGCAGGTCAGAGCAAAATTGAGAAAGAGCTACACCTTTCATGCAACAATTTTTGAAATATACTCAAAATAAACTAATAAATTGAAATATTTTTCCCGTTGAATTATTGCGGAAGCACACATCGCAAAAATATCAAATCAAATAAAGATTCATCAAAATTAATCGATTCCTTTGAAATATAATCTTGGATATAGATGTTTTAAAGCTTTAACCATAAAGCTTGTAACCAAAGTAGTACAAAGAATGGATTAAGATCGACTACCAAAGAAAGTACAGCGCAGAACAAAGAAGGATGAGCAGACCATGGAGGAGTTGACGCGATGGTTTTGATGGAGAAATGTGCATAAAACGTTCAGAAACAGAAATGAATGGAGACTAGGAATCGTGTACCATTTGGTGCGTTTCAATGCAGTATTCTTGGTCTCCACGTTAGACAATATTTTAGTCGTGCAGCAACTGATAAAAAAATCGAATGATTATGACTTCCCAATGCCATTATTATTTGTAGACTTTGAGAAAGCGTTTGACAATGTAAGAACAGAACAATCTTACAGGTCATACAAACGTCTGATATGGAAGACCAGTATATTCGTATATTAAACTATATATACAAAAACTCAAAACTAAACATCGAAACGAACAATAATAAAAGGACGATAATAAATGCAGTATTGAAAACAATGTTCGTAGAAGAAGAATGGAAAGACCTGGGAATAAGAATAAATGGGCAATGGTTGAACAGGCTAAGGTTTGCAGATGACATAGTACTTATAGGAAAGAACGAAATAGAAGTAAGGAAAATGCTGGAAAGAATATCGAGAAGAGGGAAGCAAACTGGTCTGGAGATAAATATGAGCAAGACAAAAGCGATGTACGTAAATTGTGAACAAAAAAATAAAATAATTGTTAATGGAAAGGAAATCGACAAAGTAGAGCATTTCGTATATCTAGGACAAAAGATTACAACTAAAAACACAGGAAAAGAAATAACACGGAGAATGGCAATGGGATAGCAAATGTTTAACAAATACATGGAAATCAAACATAGAAATGGAGAAAAAGAAAAAATTGTGGGAAATGTGTGTCTCCCGGTCATGATTTATGGATGCGAGACATGGATATTAACAAACAAAAAAATTAAAAAGATTAGGGTAACAGCAAGGGCAATGCATAGAAGGATGATTGGCATTACAAAAAAAGATAAAAAAACAAAAGAATGGATAACGGAAAAGTCAAACATCGAGGATATTGGAAGAATAGTATTGGATCGAAAATGGAATTGGGCGGGTCATATTATCAGAGTACAAGATGAGAAATGGACCACGAAAATCTTAGAATGGTACCCAATAGACAAAAAGAGAAGAAAAAGAAGACCAACTGCCAGCTGGAAAGATGAGTTTAAGAGGAGTTGTGGAGGAGTAACATGGCACAGGGTAACTTGAGACCGACAAGAATGGAAGAGAATGAAGGAAATATACAAGGAAGTATGGCTTTACACGGACTAATATCAAAAGCATACGAACTCAGTCCCATTATGGGAATGCCACGGTGAACACCGAAAAAGTCACCTAAACAAAAAAGGAGCGAAGATGAAATTTTAATTTGTTAAATTTTTGATTTTTAATATTAATTTGCTAAAGTATGATTTTGATTTCTTAAATTTTGATTTTGTTCTGCTAAATTTTGATTTTGTTCTGTTAAATTTTAATTTTGTTTGTTAAATTGTAAAAGAGTTGTATCTTTTGTTGGTGACAATAAATAGCTATCTATCTATCTATCTATTCTTGGTCATACCTTGCCCTCTATATATTTGTAACTTTTAATGATGCCATTTATCAAGATATTTTTATTGAGCACTAAATTATGTAAGAAGACAAAATGCTTTGATATCAAACTGCATAGTAAATTATCTTTTCTTCTTATCATCCTCTATGCTCTACAGAAAAATTACAATGAGAAGATCATTAATTCAAACAAACAAGTCTTTCAAAAAAATATAACATCGCAAAAAGTTTTACTTCGGTTGCTGCAATTTGCAAACAAATCAATGGGGATAAAAACAACAAATATTTCTTGGACAAATTAGCACTTTGTTGAATTAATCAATCAAAGACGAATCCTTACTGGAATATATTTGCTAACTAACTATAGGGAATAAAAATCGTAGAATATAGATAATATATTACAATAATTATATAATTTTAAGTAAACATGTCACTATTCAATCAGTGGAATGATTTATCACTGTTTTACCTTAAAATAAATAAAGTAGCAAATAAAAATTAAGTTTTGATTAATCTATTACTTAAGTCCCATCGTATTATTAAAAAATAGCATCATGTTTGTTTAAAATTGCATAACTACACTTTAACCTTATAATACATTACTTCGGAAGAAGTATATAAACCTTCGGTTAACGGACAAATTTTAGTATCGATTCGCTTTTCATCGATTGATTTACTAAACTATCAAGATGTTCGCCAAGTACTTGTTGGTTTTATCAGCATTGATTTGTTTACAAATGACAGCAGCCGAGGTAAGAATTCTTTTAGGAAAATTAAGATTTAAGTTACGAAGCAAACTTACACATTTATTTTTCTTAGGATCTTAATGAGTTAACTCGCAATTGGATCATTAGTCAAATTTGTGTTCCTGCATCTGATTACTTATGTAGTACTTGCCATCATGTGCATGAAAATATTGAAGATCAAGTAAAAGCTGAATTAAATCAACCTATCGATGAATATTCAAAAGATAACATGGCTCGTCTTAATGTATGTGTAATTTGTAGACAAATTGATCATATATGTTTGCAAGTTGGTTTTGGATCGTATTAGATTACAAGGATTTGTTTTAATAAAGAATTAAGCATATTTAATTTATTGTTATTAATAATTTATTACATTAAGTTGATGTCATAAATTCCTTATTCCTTTATCTTTCAATAACAATAACTTTTATACTTTATGCCAATAAGAATTCTATGGTGATTAGATACCATAATTATTCTTTTGTTGGACAGACGTTAGAATACATTAGAGAACCTATTCTATATCATATTTCATACAATATCTGATTGTTGAAATTCTAAAGCAATTACTAATAGAAAAAAATGCCCTACAAAGTAACATTAAACATAGATTGTGATGCAACAGAAAAGACTAGTATGAAGTTATCCATAAATCCCAGTATAGTATAGTATGTATATACCATTCTCTATTCGTCCCAAATTGATATATCCTACAATAAAAACTTCTCCGTACATATCCCTACATCCAAACAGAACATTGTAAATTAAGACTAGAAGAAACAACATCTTAAAAAACAACTCGAAGCAGCAAAGAGAGCAAAACACTTTCGAAGCTTAACGTACGGAAATAAAGGAATTTCTACTAAAACAGTTGTAACTACAAAACGTCTACAAAGCAATAGTTAGATCTTTGTTGGATTATGGACATGCCCTACCCTGTGCTTATTTAGAAATAACGTCGAAAATCTCAGACGTAAGACAACACTCTTGGAAAAACTAGTGATATAACATGAAAAATAATCTATGTATAAATTATAAATAATTTGTAACTATATTCTACGGCCGAAACATCTGCAAATGTATACATTCTCTCTCTTGTCTTAAATTTACCTGGGCCTTTGCAAGTATTGCAATTGCGAATAAGATTACTAACAGAAAAAGTAATTTGAATTGATTTTAGTTTTAACTTCAATATCGGTTTTGTTTGAAAACTCATTTTACCTTGCGCCTTATATGTATACATATATTTTTTATATGGTGTAAAAAAATGATCATTAAGTGATTTTTATGAATGAGTTTTTTGGATAAAGATCTGAAAGTGGCATCGTGTTTATTTAGAATTTCTACAAATAACTTTAAGCAAATAAACAAATACTTTGAAGAGGTATATAAATTTTCGTAACACGTTTCAATAATCATTCACACCTGATCGATTCATTCAATAAACATTGGAGATGGGTTGCAAATTGTTTTTGTTTTTAACCGCTTTGGTTTGTTTTCATCTCGTAGTAGCTAATCAGGTAAAATCTGTTATTTCAAATTTTTATAACACACTAAACTTAATTGTTTATTTTTTTTCAGGATGTCGAGGAATTAAATAGGAATTGGGTTATTGATCAACTCTGCAACCCGATTTTGTCTATATGTGATAGTCTATGTCATAATTTACATGATGATGTTTTGGATGGCATTAAATGGAAGCTATCATCAGTTATAGATAAAGTAGGAGTTAATGGTGAAGAGGTAAGATTAATATTTTATTTTTATTTTCTATGGCCACAATCGATATTCTTTTTATGCTTTTTTAGTCAAAAGTATTTAAAAATGCCCTTTTTGGATTAGTAGAAGTTGTTGATCAAGGATCACGTAACCTCAAGGAACATCGTGTTGAAATGTGCTCACTTTGTCAAGAAGTTCAGAACTTATGTAATCAAGTATTATTTGATAATTAAAGTATATATTCTTTTAGAACGAAAAATAAAGAAAATGATTTTACACATTTGCTTTTTTGCTTAAATCTTAATTAATTATATAATCCCACAACAACATTAATTTCACATAATTAATTTGTAATTATTTAGCAATCAATTTAATGGATTGGAGAATTTGAAAAACTACATTACATATAACAGCAAGTTATCGTTGCAGAGAATTTTAACCGGTTAATTGTGTTCGACGTGTGTACACGTCAATTCAAATTTTTATTTCGATATGGTTATCGTTGTTATAATTTTTTAAACCCAACTCTGCACATTTGATTGTTGTTCGTTTTAAGTATAGAAATTTAAAAAATCGTAACTCAAGAACTAATTGAGATATTACGATGAAATAAGAAACAGTTTAAAGCAAATTTAATGAAGATTGAGTGTGCCATAAATAATTTCTTATTTTCTATAAACATCGTTGTTATGATTTTTTAAACCCAACTCTGTCATTTGATTGTTGTTGGGTTTAAAAATAGAAATTTAAAGAATCGTATCTCAAGAACGAATTGAGATATTACGATGAAATAAGAAACATTTTAAAGCATGTTTAATGTAGATTGAATGTGCCATAAATAATTTCTTATTTTCCATAAACATCGTTGTTATAATTTTTTAAACACAACTCTGCATTTGATTGTTGTAGGGTTTAAGTATAGAAATTTAGAAAATCGTATCTCAAGAATGAATTGAGACATTCCGATGAAATAAGAAACATTTTAAAGCAAATTTAATGAAGATTAAGTGTGCCATAAACAATTTCTTATTTTCCATAAACATCGTTGTTATAATTTTTTAAACACAACTCTGCATTTGATTGTTGTTGGGTTTAAGTATAGAAATAAAAAAAATCGTATCTCAAGAACCAATTGAGATATTCCGATGAAATAAGAAACATTTTAAAGCAAATTTAATGAAGATTAAGTGTGCCATAAACAATTTCTTATTTTCCATAAACATAGTTGGTTGTTATAATTTTTTAAACCCAACTCTGCACATTTGATTGTTGTTGGTTTTAAGAATAGAAATTTAAAAAGTCGTATCTCAAGAACCAAATGAGATATCAGGATGAAATAAGAAACATTTTACAGCAAATTTAATGAAGATTGAGTATGTCATAAACAATTTCTTATTTTCCATAAACATCGTTGTTATGATTTTTTAAACCCAACTCTGCATTTGATTGTTGTTGGGTTTAAGTATAGAAATTTAAAAAATCGTATCTCAAGAACGAATTGAGATATTCCGATGAAATAAGAAACATTTTAAAGCAAATTTAATGAAGATTAAGTGTGACAGAAACAATTTCTTATTTTCCATAAACATCGTTGTTATGATTTTTTAAACCCAACTCTGCACGTTTGATTATTGTTGGTTTTAAGAATAGAAATTTAAAAAATCGTATCTCAAGAACGAATTGAGATATTACGATGAAATAAGAAACATTTTACAGCAAATTTAATGAAGATTGAGTATGTCATAAACAATTTCTTATTTTCCATAAACATCGTTGTTATGATTTTTTAAACCCAACTCTGCACATTCGATTGTTGTTAGTTTTAAGAACAGAAATTGAAAAAATCGTATCTCAAGAACCAATTGAGATATTCCGATGAAATAAGAAACATTTTAAAGCAAATTTAATGAAGATTGAGTATGTCATAAACAATTTCTTATTTTCTATAAACATCGTTGTTATGATTTTTTGAACCCAACTCTGCACATTTGATTGTTGTTGGTTTTAAGAATAGAAATTGAAAAAGTCGTATCTCAAGAACCAAATGAGATATCAGGATGAAATAAGAAACATTTTGAAGCAAATTTAATGAAGATTGACTATGCTACAAACAATTTCTTATTTTCCATAAACATAGTTGTTATAATACATTCGAGATATAACGATGAAACAAAAAACCTTTCTTATTATATGTTTATTTATTGTATTTATTCGGGAATACATTATTTGTGCATATATAACAAGTTTAACTTTTGTAACAAAAAAAACAGTACTTTTTACTTCAATTATAACTTACTGTATATATTTAACTACTGGCTAAATTCATTCTTTAGTAATTGCACTACAAAGTTGATTAGTAACGTCACAAATTTTACACCAATCGAACTTGCTTAGACTTAAGTAATATTCGTTAACAACGTTTTGGAACCCATTGAGTACGTTAAGTGCGTGATCATCTATGTTAAGTCCATTATTCTTCTAAAATAACATATGAATCAGTTAAAAATAAAGATACTCTTAATAAATTTTTGTACTAACCATTTCATTTATTATGTTGTGAGCAAGACTGAGATAATATTCCAAGCTATGAATATCATCACTATTGTAACTAGCGGGGCAAAACATTTTACAAACCATATTCACGCCTCCACAAATAACACTAATTGTCGATTTGTCAAGTTTGGAACCATGTTGTTCTAGGGCAGTCTGCACGTTCACTAATGCTTTGTACAACTCCTCGTCCTACATTTTTTTAAATAAAACTGGTTAATTTTATAATTATACTAAACTTAATATAATTACCTCAGCATTTGCAAATGCAGCAATTGCAAAGAAAGCCACGAAAAAGAAAACTAATTTTGACGACATTATTGCTTTTTTGGTTTTAAACTCAATTAAAGTTTCGAAGATACTGAATGATGAATGGTAAAGTTTCGTGCCTTATATACCACATTTTTATTTGGAAATTCAGCTACTTGAAAATATGGTGCAAAAAAAAACAATATTTCAAGTGCTCTCGATGTAACGAAATATACTTCATCAAATGAATTGCTTCAACATACATAGTCTCAAGTACAGGATTAATGTGATGTCAACATAGTGATATTAAAAATTTTATTTCTAGATCATTAATTTATAACATCCGCGTTTATTACGCTTACCATAAGTCATCGAATTGATAAAGAAGGATTGGAATATACAAGTAGTGAAAAGTGTTCATCACATGGATAACTTACATGAAAGATATACCAAGGTTCGCGTTTACATAAAACGAAAATTTCATGAATATTGGCAAGTTCTTGATGGAGAGCACTTTGCGTACTCCTTAAATTACGTGCATTTCATCGCCCTATGTCCTTGTGGATGTGACAAGTGCTTTTACAATATTCTTTTTGCTTCGGATTTAAACGTGGCGACAAAATATCTTGCAGCAAAAAAGAATATCGCAAAAACTATAATCCTATTATTTCCGAATTTATTTTTCTAATTAAAATATCGTAGTCTTTGAAATATAAAAAGCGAAGAGGAAAATAAACGGAAGATCGAAAAACCAACGAGATTCTGATGAACCAAAACATTAAAACAAAAATTGAAAATTTAAATAATATAGATGAAACCATACAATTTCTTTCAATAAATGATTTAATGAACAATAAAGCAGAAATAATAGGAAATTTAAATATTGCAGCCCTATATAGGAAAACAAAGGACTGTAATATAATCAAAGTATTTTCTAATTATTTAGATAATTGTTTCCTGGTAAAATTTGTTACAATTGTGGCCGGTTTCATAAATGGGTATTAAATTTAATGGTTGATTAACACAGCGTTGTTAGGGTAACGCAACTTCTTTTAGTTATTTGATTGATTAAAACAACTTAATCACATAGATGAAAGTTACTGGTGTTGTACGTGTTACGTGTGGTCCACTAAATCCTGCATCATAACAGGGCTGTAGTTGCTTCCCATTGTCATCCACTTGTTATGACAAAAATCAATATTGCATTGAACCAAGATCCTTGTGTTATTAAATCCAGGGTTGTGGATTCAACATGGTAAGCGATTCCATTCAAGTTCCCCAATCGATGAAAAGATAAAAACTGCGATTTGCGTATCCAATCATATGCGTGCCCACTTGTTGCCTCGACATACAGTAGAGGATCAGGAGTTTCAGATTACCAGTTTTGGATCGGTTTACTTCCCGTACAAAGACCAAACTCTATACTAGGAGATGATTAGATTGACTGGGAACGCCAGGATAGGTAACTAAAATCTTATAACCAGCATTCTAATACGTACTTAAATGTTTGGAGAAACTCGGTTAATTAATAAGCTTCCTTGTACCAAGGTTAATGCATTATCGTTATCACCTTGGCATCAATGGGTATTCCCGCATTCGATTCACAACTGGAGGATTTCAGACAAAGCTTCATTATCAGATTATAGATGGATCACTTCTTGGTATCAATAAGATTGTCAAAAATCTAAAACGTGACCTCATGGGAATGGATATGATGAACGTTATCTGATGCATTAAACGAAACTAGGTCACATAAAGCGTTCGAAAACTAGGAAGTTGAAAAGTTCACGAAAGTCGTTAGATAATTGTAGATGCGTTATTATGTGGTGGTGTCATGAAACTTATATGAGTGGGAAGAGAGACCATCCATGTTGTACTACATTTCAGCAGTTCATCACGTAGCATTAGTAAGACTTCGTTAGTTTTCTATCAATTAATTTTTTATGTTACGATACCCTGGACAGGTCTAGTTCACCGATCTAAAAAGGAGTTATCTTGGAGTCGGAATTTCTTATCTCGGCGTTGGTTCTTTTTCTCTATCGAGTCCAGAGGAAACACTGGATTTTGTTGCCATATCAATTGGCAGCAAGAAAAATGAGACATACATGAAATTTTTTTAAGATAGTTAGCAGTGATCTTTCAAGTCTGAAAAAGGTTCTGGCATCAAGTCGTAACTATCACAACAGTTAACTAAACAAGGACTTACGGGTTTTATATCCAAAATCTTCACGAACTCAACCATAAAGGCAAGCTTAAATGGGAAGCAAAAACTATCTTGTTATAAAAAAGAAACTGGCAGCACGGAAATCTCGCCTTGTTTATTCGAAACACTTTGCATGCTATCATCGTAGAAACCTCCGACGGAACGTTGCCGAATGCGGAGTTTTTGCTTGTACAGCTGAAAACTGATTATAATAAATTATTACTCGGTGTTTTTTACTGCCCTCCTTCTATGAACTATTTTGATCAGTTGGAAGAGATTTTGGAAAGGCACTCACTTATCTATGGGACTATTCTGTTAATGGGGGATTTTAATACCTGTCTGTTGAAAAATGATACTCGTAGTGAGAAACTTCAGTTCGTTACTTCTTCCTCAAACTTATCTATCTTACCCTCTCTGCCTACTCATCATCTTCCTACCTCACATTCTCTTCTTGATCTTATTATTACATCCTGTCCAGACGGAATACTTACACATGGTCAGCTACCTGCCTTCCAATTCTCCAACCATGATTTAATCTATTGTGCTCTGCGGGTGCAGCATCTGAGTCGTTCTCGGCGTGTTGTGACTTACCGTGATCTAGGGCGAGTTGAAACTAATTTGCTCTTGTCGGATGCACTGATGATTGATTGGCTTCCACTGTATCGTTTAACAGATATTGATGCTAAAGTGGACTACTTTAATTCCAAAATCATTAATCTCTATGATAAACATGCCCCACTTAGGCAACGCAGGATGAGGCACCCGCCTGCACCTTGGCTGAGTGATGAGATAAGATCTCTTATGCGACTGCGTAACCGTGCAAAGTCCGTAGTTAAACGTACACCCTCTAGTGCTAATCGGGAAAATTATCGAATTTTACGCAACCGCTGTAATCATAAATGCAAGTATGCTAAGAGATCTTATTTCTACCAGAGGCTGTCTGGAGTCGCGCCCAGAACATTTTGGAGGACTATGAGGTCTCTCGGAGTGATTGATTCTCCGTCTGTCCAGATGGATCTTGATTGTGAGTCGATGGCAAACTTTTTTGCAGAGCCTCCCCTGATCATCGATGACGTAACTAAGGCGGCTACAATTAATGAAATTCTTACTTCTCTTAAATCTTGCTCCTTCTCTCTTACGCTTGTGACCGCGATCGAAGTAGGCGATGCTTTGACTTATTCGAAGTCCCCTTGCGTGGGTTCTGATGGTATCGGTCTCAACCTTCTTCTTCCTATCCTGGATATAGTGCTTCCTCCCTTAACTCATATCTTCAACTTTTCTTTTGAGCGGTCTTTATTTCCCTCTGTCTGGAAGGTTGCTCATGTCGTTCCCATACCCAAATCCAAGTCCTCTTCATGTAACACTGATTTCCGTCCGATTTCAATTTTATCCGTACTATCAAAAGCTCTTGAACGCTTAGTTTATTTACAAGTCCAAGGATTTCTAGAGAGGTTTAATTTACACAATGAGTTGCAATCGGGTTTTCGCAGTGGGCATAGTACAGCTACTGCCCTCATTAAAGTTACTGA